GATAGATAGATAGATAGATAGATAGATAGATAGATAGATAGATAGATAGATAGATGATAGATAGAAAAAAAGTTCTCAGTAAATTTCTTAACTGACATCTTTATTCCATGTTCTTTTCCCTAAAGTGTTAATTATCATTGATGATCTAGATAAGAAACTAACAACAATTTAAAAGTGACAGATCCATAATCCCAACATTGAAAACATTCCATCCAGGGAAAAGCGAAGAATGCAATTTACAAAGAGTGTATGTAGAACAGGAAGACATAAAACACCATATTTAGAAGAAAATGTTCTGAATGTTTATTGTACCAAAAAGAGGTGACACAAAATATGCTTTTAAATTTTGTCTAAAAAATGTTGAATTGTCCTTGAATTCTTCATTTGATCGTCTAAGGAAATATTTCTACATTCCAATATTTTCTACATTTTGTTGTTTATATATAAGTAACATTTGTATACAGATAATATGACAGTCAAAATAAAAAATATGGCATGGTTTTTACCACTTGAAAAAAGAGTAGTATGTAATTATGGAGACAAAAATAGACCTGGCAAATCTCTTTAAATGAACACTGAAAGGTAAACACTAACAGCTCAAAATATAATGCACAGAAAACACCTCTAATCATCCTAATTATCACACTGTTTTGTATATATGTTAATATTTTTGTATGTTTCAAAGAAGCTGCACTATTTCAGCCTTGATCTGAATCCCAAGTCATTAAAGAAAGAATGCTGGCAACTATATTCTAGGAAAAGGTTATAAGAAAATTGAGAAAGGATGGGAAACTTGATTACTATATACAAGTCCTCACATAGGCATAAGGAGTAACACAAAGAGCCTGTCTTTATAAACATTTGGACATGCAGACATGTACTTGTGCTCACAAATGCATGTCTGCATCTATTTCTAAGTAGGGCTTCCCAGACTCAACGTTTTTGGAAAAAAAAAAATAAAAAGAATCTTAGAAAAATATACTACAAGGTGATCACATTTTACATAAAATTCACTCTTTCGGTGCTGATAAGATTGTGCACTGTTAAAAACTAAATTCCCCATGGAGTACGTAAGATGCTAACAAAATCTTCATCATCTGTTATTCCTATACTTAGGCCTTCATAGTAATCTTCAAATTCACCATATGAAACTTCATCAGACTTGCTGCAGGCATCTCTTAATGTCTCTAGAAAAGATGATTTGATTTCTTCCTCTGTTAAATGCCCTGCAGGAAGAGAAATAACTGTGAAATATTTTCCCTAAAAGTTCAGGAAAATGACAGATGATAATAAAGGGATACTTATTCATCTTATGAACTAATTTCAATAATTTCAAATTGTATGCCCAACATTAACCAGAATTCATTTCTCCCACAATCTGCCTCTCTGTGTCTCCTCTTTCTTTCATACATTGATCTATTCTCAAGCTTTTAGTACAGAGAAAGAGAAAAGTTTCATAATAGTACACTGATTTACAGATAAAAAGTCACAGAAAATGGTCAGATAATATCCAAAATTAAAACAAATAAAAGCATGAATTAATAAGCAAAAATGATGACAGTAGGTAATTGATGATCTTTAAAATGATCTTTAAAGTATTTTTCAGTCAGAGGGCCGGGCAGATGACTCAGTGATCAAGGATGCTTGCTTCTCTTCCAGTGAACCCAAGCTTGGTCTCCAGCACCCACATTGCATGGCTCACCGTAGCCTGTAACTCCAGCTCCGTGGAATGAGACACCATCATATGTCCTATGTACGTACACATACCCACACACAAACACAAACGTACATACACACATATAAAAATAAATTCAAGAAAAACATGTTGCTGTCATTGAAGAACATACATGACAAATAGGAAGAATGATCATTTTATTAAAACGAAATCAGTTTGAATGGAAAAGGACTGAATATTGTGCTATGCAAAGATTATACTACATAAGAAAGTGAATTTGTGATTGTTTGTCAAAGCTAAATCTAATCAACATGTAATGTATAAGGAAACACAAATTTTCTAATTAAAACAAATTTTACTTAAATTTATGCTTCAAATACCAAGAATTGTATTGCTTCTTAAAACCTCCCACCTAGAAAATACCCATCCCCCATTACCCATGATCGGATTCGCTTTCATTGCTCTCGTAGACCAGAAAGGGTTACAAAATTATGAAAGCATTTTTTCTCTAACAAATTACTTAAGAAAAGTAAGAAAGAGTATTTTTCTATAACTTAAACTGTGAAGTCAAGCATGCAGGAGGCAGAGACAGAGGGAAGCCATATAAGCAGGAGACCATTCTGGTCCACATGGCACAATCCTGTCTCAAAATAAAGGAGAAGGAGAAGGGGAATGAAAAGAGGAAAAGAAAGAGGAGAAAGGGGAGAAACAGACAACTTTTATCCAAGAAATTGTTATGCAATATATTGCAATTTGTACATAAAACAGGGATTTTCTTTGTTAGTTTAATTTTTATTGATTTATATCGAGCTCTACATTTTTCTCTGCTCCCCTCCTTGCCTCTCCCCTCCCCACTTCAGCCCTCCTCAAGGTCCCCATGCTCCCAATTTACTCAGAAGATTTTGTCTTTTTCTATTTCCCATGTAGATTAGATCTATGTCTCTCTTAGTGCCCTCATTGTTGTCTAAGTTCTCTGGGATTGTGATTTAAAAGCATCACTAGGATTTTTTCTTTAAAGCATGAGCAGTCTGCCTAGCTTTCTCTCCATGATGTGCATGGCAAGACAAAGAAAAGAATTTTTGGAAAGAACCAGGGTTTACCCAACAAAAGCAAACCCCAACTTGAGCCACAATCTCTGACCCACAATAGAATTAAAGCTGTTAAAGCAAGCTAATTAAGATTATGAGACTGAAAAAGACAGAAGTAAAGATAAATATTGATATTGAAGCCACCTAATTTTGAAATAAGTACATTCTTCCACACTTGTGTTTGGTATGACTAATTCAATAGAAAGATGTGGAGAACGGAAGGTCTAGGATGGCCTTTTACTTCTGATCCTCCTGCCTCCAGCTCCTGAGTGCTGGGATTACAAGCACGTGACACAGGCACAGTTGATTCACAACTCAAACCCTTGCACACGTTAGGCAAGCACTCTACCGGCTGAGCCATGGCCCCAGCACATAAAACATTAATGAAAAAAATGAAGGTAACTATAATGTATCCTTGCTAATATAAAGTATAAAACATTAAATGCCAAAAACGTAGTCTTTCATATTCAACCTATGTAATTATCCAGAAAAGAGAGTCAGAAATATTCATACACAAATTCATAAGTAGGCAGGATGTGGAGGTAAACACCGTAATCCCAACACTTAAGAAAGTGAGGCTGAGAGCATGGCCATGCTCCAGTGATAGGGTTATATTTTTTTTCCTCTTTTTCAGGAGAGTGGGCCTGGATGGAATGGGAATCGAATATGATCATGGTACATTGCATGAAATCCCCCCAAAATTAATAAAAATATTATATCAGGGGAAAATGTGACTCTGGGGACTTTCAAGGCTAGCCTGGGTCACATGGCAAGACCCTGGCTCAAAACAAAAAAGAGAATGTTCAATATTGAATGAATATTATTGGATAGTGAATATATTCTGAAAGTATTTTACCTCTGTATTAGTCAGTGAAATTCAAATGAAGATCAGGGAGTTGGACAAAAATAATTCTGCAACAAATGGAAGTATAATCTAGTGTGGAACGAGCTCTCATTGCAACAGCATTTGGAAGTACTAGCTGATATCCCAGGAAGTAAATAATTAGAAATTAAAAGTCCACCAATAGAAGAATATCTGTACACATTGCAATGTGTTTATTACTAAGTGAATAATATGTGGCAAATAAAAATAATATGTCTCCATGTGGATTTACATGGAAATAGCTCCAAAATACACTGTTCAGTCAAAAACAAATTACAAAACAGTAACTCTAACATACCTTTCAAGTCAGAAAAAAAATCTGCAAACTGTTAGCAGACTATGAAAAATCAAAGAGAGATATGTTACAGGGCTACAAGGTTTGTTCTTTTGAAAACAAAAAAAAAATGAAATTAAGGTAGTTTTCGTGACCAAACACTGTGATAAGGTGTAGTCGTAAATCAACTACACAAAAGAGTAAGAGCTGTAATAGGAAATGAGGCTTTAAAATTGCTTTAAGAAATTCAATATGCCCTCCTCCTGTTTTTGAGGCAAAGTCTCAATACATGGCCCTATCTGGCCTCAAATTTGCAAATCTCTTTCCGCTTCCTGAGTGCTGTGTTCAGCCACACTAGGCTGGATTTTGACAGACACATAGGTGCCATTGTGCAAGTAATTCCACCCCTAGATAAAGACGCAAACCCTCCTCAATCCTCAAGGATGGATAACTGTATCAGAAGATGCAGTAGTTCTACCGGAGAGCCTAACCGAAGTTTTACCAAATCTCTTTTAAACCTCAATTCCTTACCTTCCAAACAAGAAACGAGAGTTCTATCTTGAATATAACTGTCAAAGAAATCAATAAGTACAGACACTAGAAGGGAAAATGACTCTAAAACCATTGGCTCAAACAAAATGTGTTTTATTTCCTTCATGAATCCAGCTGATGCTTTGGATTAGTGTAATTTAAAGAAGACACTTTTATTAATAAGCACGGTAAAACCCAAATGTATCCGGCATATGATAGTTACCTGAAATCACATGGGGATGCTTCCTGGCACAGTAACACTTCCTTATGTCTATCACAGACACAATACCAGTTTTGTTGAAATCCAGTTTCATGAAGGCCTAAAGAAAGATGGGGTTTCTCTTTGTGAAATTGTTAGGTATGGGGAGCAATTGTGCAGATGATTGTTTCTGAACTGTAAACAAGACACTTTGAAGGAATTAAACAGGTGCTTGATTAAGCGAGGAGGAAGGAGACTAAACCAAAAACTGGGAATCCCTCATTCAAGCATTTTATGTGTTCACTGTTGAGCATCCTGACCTGCAGAAAGCGGTCAATCCCACTCTCCTGCCGGGAACCAAAGAGTTGGGTCAAAGCCCTTGGCAACTTCCAGTACCAGGACTCATGAAATTGATAAATGACCAAAACAAAGAGCTAGGAAGTTATGTGAAGTTTTATTTGATTGTGAGTTCAAAAGTGAAGCTACAAACTCAGTATCAAAAGAATCAATGAACAGATGAAATGTTTATTTCTCAAAACATAACACTGCCTTTCCGATTTCTGGTTCACTTACCGTTTTTCCAACCCAGTGAAACTCTACATACTAAAAATACTAAGAGAGAAACAAGATACAGAGACACTCCAATCTACCCAAAGCGGCAGCCTGTGTTTGCCAGGAGTTAAAACCAGATGCATCCTCATCACTCACGATATTTAATTCACGGCAACCTTGTTCCAGCTCTAGATTCAATTGTGCCCCAAATTCCTTTCCTGAATTTTAATACTTAGATGCCCCAGAATAGAACTGTATGAGGAAGTGGGGTCCTTAAGGAAGTAATTAAGATAAAATAGAATCATTGGGGAAGGCCCCAGTCCAGGATGACTGGTAATCCTTTAACAATAGACAGCACAATGCACAGGGGGGCAGCCATGGAAAAACAGTGGAACAGCCACAGAGAGGCCTCAGAGGAAGCCAAGCATGCCCACCTTTCTTTGATTTCTAGTCTACAAACTACAAGAAAGCAATTTGATAGGCCAGTCTGATACTCTAAATTATCACCATAGTATTCAAAGAGCAATTAAGTACTAAGTTATAGTATAATTTTTATTTTAAAACTTGGGAATCTGTGTATATGTGATGCGTGTATAATGTGTGCATGTATGTGCGTGTGCAAGACAAACATGCAGGGGGTCAGTCCTTTCATTGCCCCTTGTCTGAGACAGGGTCTCCTTGTTGTTAGGTAATGCATGTCCAGGCTAGTCAACTGTGAGCCTCATGGGATTTCCTAACTGTGCCTCTCATCCTGTCATAAGAGTACTGGGATTACAGACATGTGTTACTACCTCTACATTTACACGGGAACTGAGAGTTTGAACTCAGGTTCTTACACCTGCACTTGAGACACTTTACTCAATGATCTATGTCTCCAGCTCCAGGACTCTAATTCCAACTTAATAAAGATCTTTGTTATTTTCCTTTTAACACTTTACATGCATCTCAGAAAAACCACAGGAACACCTTCAGTCGTCATCATAAAGGAAGGCATGCTGAGTTCTGACACCGGGATGGTTGGGATTACTAAGAATGGAACCATCACATACAATCTCTCCACTAGCTCTGAGGAACAGTCAGCAAGGCTTAGGATTATACACGGGAATATAGCTAGATAGCTAGTATTGGACAATACTAATAATTTATAACGACAATTCAATTTAAGATTTTATTTTTCTTTCATCAAATTTTTTCTAGGACTTAGGATTTTGTTTGATTCTGGGTAGAATTGTGCAAACATATATAAGCTTACTTTACTTTACTTTACTTTACTTGCTTACTTTAACTCTTATTAAACCCAGCTAAAATGATATAATATGTTTTAAATGATGACCCATTAAAGATACTAAACAATGGATCTCACAATCTAATAAATGTAATAGTTTGAGATCAGGTAACAGTTACCTTGCGAACAAATGATTTCCTATATTCATTCATTTCACCAAAAATGGCACGTTTGAATTCTCCGTAATCAACCTTGTTCTTGCTGGGGCTACTGCCTTGCAGAATCAGCCAGGAAGACTCAAAATCCTAGAAATGCCCACAGAAAATGCCATTACATTTTTTAGTTACATAAGTCACAAGATCAGAGTCATATTTTTTCAGACTATCTATGGCCCTCGAGAGAGTAACCTACTTAGGAAAAACATTCAAAAACTTACAGATAAACCTAGCAAATCAACTGTGTAAGGAATTCTGGGGTGAAGGCTTAAGCAAGATTCTGGGCCTATTCTGATTGACTGGTAACTCACAATATATGCTTCTTAAAACTATGTTATTTGAAAGCAAGGAAATGCTGAGGGTTGGACCTAGGACCTCTTGCATACCATCCATCACTGTTCTACATTCTTAAGGGTCTTATCATAACTTTTGCTGATAAATCATACCATATATTAGGAGCATAACATGATATCTCAACGGTCATACACAGTGCAGAAGGAGCAAGACAGACTAAATACCATCTCTGACATTTCCAATAGTTAGCATTTCTGTAGTAAGAGTATATAAAATCTGTTTTAGCTGTCTTTAAACACCCAGTACATTATTCTTGATCCCATTCACCAGGCTGTGCAATAGACACTCATCCTCTTATCCAAATGCTAATTTATGTCATCTGGCCCACCTCTTCCTTTCTCTCGAAACATTACACTCCCCATCATTTACCTTTCAGTGTCTTTTCGTCTAAAGTGCAATGGTTGTTGTATACTTGGTTTTGAATCATTTTGTCCTTTATTTTTAAATTATAACTGTGACAACGTGAAAGCCTAGTAAGGTTCTGAAATACTGAGACTTACACTGAGACTATTAATGGAGTTTCATCTGGTCTTGGGAGCATAGAAGGTTTAAATGACTTCCAAACTATTCCCGAATTTACATTAAAGAGTATAATTCTAACTAAATGCATTATGCCAGTTTGTTCACTGACATTCCCAAGTGCTTCTTTGACAAAGGTGTTACTTAATACACAATCTATTCAGTGATCCTGATAACAAAAGAAATCACAGCATTCCTTTACTGAACCTCAGATATATTCTCAATGTTTCTAGCAAACTTTAAATGAGAGTGTTACTCAAACACTCACCTTGGCAAATAAATACTCAAAAATTATTCTCTTCCACTTCCTAGTGTTTTCAAATAAAACTGTAATTAGAAAACTAAGACTCAAATTACCCCGCTCCTCCCAGTAGCCAATGATCTACACCGTTTTTCATGTGGAAATGCCTCATACATTATCAAGAAAATATGCCTATGCTGTGTTAAGTCTAAGTTTAACTTTTACAAGTCATGAGAACAATGGACAGGAGACAAATGTGTTTGCTTAACTCAAAGAATTAAAGACTTAAAAGGACCTCTAAAGGCTCAGAAAAAAATGTCTTCAAGAATTAAGAAGTGTAACTGAAGTGACAAAAAATGCATATGACTAAGTCTATACAATGTTCAGAACAGAAACTAATCCAGATGGACTTTTAACTTCACTGGGAGTATTTCTATATAAACTTGGTTCATTGTGGAACATAACACTTTTTATTTCAAATCAGAGAGAATGGCTCTGTCTTTTCACAAATAGGTTCTACTTCTACAGTGAGACCCAGCCTCACCTCCCTCTGCATGTACTTAAGACTGCAAGAGCATATATATATTGCATGGTGATACAACAAGAAGCAAAACAAGAATATTAGTTAAAATGTGTGAGATGGAGGGATGTGTAGGTCAATGGCATAAAACTTACTTTGCATGTATGAGAACCTAGGACCAATTTCAAGCACCATTAAAAAAATTAGAAAATTAATTAACAGATTAAGTTTATAATAAGATGAAACATATGAGAAAGGATGAAACACATTCTTATGTTGTCTTTCTTAGGTTGAGGTAATTTAAATGAGAATGGCCCCCAGAGGCTCATATATTTAAATACTTGATTCCCAGTTTGTGGAACTGTTTGTGAAGGATTAGGAGGTGTGGCCTTGTTAGAGGAGATGTGTCACTAGTGGTGGGCTTTGAGGTTTCAAAAGCTCATGCCAGTCCCAGTTATCTCTCTCACTCTGCCTCATAGTTACTGTGTCAACATGTAGGATGTGACTATTCCAGTGGCGTATCTGTCTGCCTGCTGCCATGTCCCATACCACAAGTACCATGGACTCTAACCCTCTCGGGAACTAAGAGCCTTCAATTTAAATGCTTTCTTTCATAAATTGCATTGATTATGGAGTTTTGTCACAGCATTAGAAAAGCAACTAAGACAGATGTCTCGAGTAACTACAGTCTTATTCACAAGTTATAAGTATGTCATAAACAATTACAGAAGCATCAGAGTAATACAGTACTTTTCAATATACACAGGGCCAGGTTATATGGACATCAGTCCTCTATCAGTTATAGATTAGTTGTTTGTTTAACAAAAATATACCACAGCATTCTAATTTCCTATCATTGTTTTTATTTTTCTATCTATGAAAGAAAGATGTGAAGGTGAATGACCCCTGGGTTGTTATGACTAGATAGGCAACAAGATTCAATGTCATCATCACAACCAACGAAAAGACAATTATGTCACAACACTGACATGCAGTATCACACTGACATAGAATTTTTTACTTGATAAAGCAAATCCCCACATAATTTTTTTATTTGCACTCCCATGCCTCCCTAAATATAGCAATTGTCTCAGAACTGCTCAGGCAGAGCCGTCAATGAAAGTCAAAACACTTGTATACGATTACGCAGCTAAATAACTTTCTTTTCTGGATAGTTACATGGAGTGAATACAGAAGACTATTTTTTTGGAATTTAATTTTTTGTACTTTGTATTAACAAAGATACATTATGGTAACCTTTATTTCTCATCATTAATAAATATTGTATATGCTGGGGCCATGACTCAGTTGGTAGAGTGCTTACATAATTACAGAAATATAGATCATAGATAATTTTTAGCAAAAGAGAAAAATGCAAGAGAATCCTGTATATGAAATACTTGATCTGAATCATTCATGTACTTTTAACATACAAGCAAAATTTCCCAGTACAGAACACAAGGCATTCATGTACCAACCAGATTTAATTTCTCCTGCTCTTCTATCTACTTGCTCAAGCTATAAACTATTGGTTCCTTGCTTGCTATGCTAGGCTCAGTTCAAGGTGTTAAAGAAAGAGCAGGAACAGGAGTCACCCTGGTCCCCATCTGGATGGGATGTGCCGTGTTACTTACAGGCAGCTACAAAGAGCTATGAAGCGAACAAAATGGAAGTTGATCTAGAATGGATTGGAGATCAGATAGTGGATCTCTTCTGCAAAGAAAGCTGTGGACTAAATGATGAGAAAAAATCTAACACATACATATCTAGTGCAAGATCGCTCACATCAGAATGAGGAGTGTGTAGGAAATGGGCCCCGGCAGCTTGGGGCAGAGCCACAGTCCATGCCTGGAACATACTTCTCCTTTCCACAAAATGATCATCGTCTGAGCCACGCTCCCTCTTCATGAAGATCCGTTCTCTGCTGCTGCTCTTTTATACCCTGTCCATTCAGTCTTCCTCATTATTCAAAACCCAACCTGGAAGCATCCTCCCCCAGGAGTCTTGCAGTGGTCTTTCCCTCTCCTAACTGCTGGCTTGGGTTGGAACTGAGTACCACCTGCGTTCCCACAGCATCCTCTATTTGATGCACCTATTAATCATTTTCTTCATTTAAAGGTTATGAGAGTGGTGTAGGAGGTTCTTCTATGTGTTGTTTTCGTTGGTTGAATAAAGAAACTGCCTTGGCCTTTTGATAGGTCAGACTTAGATAGGTGGAGTAGACAGAACTGAATTCTGGAAGGAAGGGCAGTGCGGCAGACGCCATGTTTCTCCTGCCCAAGACGGATGCTGGTTAGACTCATGCCGGTAAGCCATGATACACACAGTCAAGTGGCAATACAGATTATAAGAAATGGGTTAAATCAAGATGTGAGAGTTAGCCAAAAAGAGGCTAGAGATAATGGGCCGGGCATTAATTTAATTAATTCATTTTCTGTGTGATGATTTCGGGTGTAAGCTAGCCCGGTGGGACGAAAAGCAGGCCTGCTCTTGTAACATGAGGGGTCTGCTTGTTTGTGTTTCTGTCCTGCCCGGCCCCCCAGCTGTTTAGTCCCAGAGAAAAAAATCACACACAAATCTCTATAAGTTATAATGCTGATTGGCCCATTAGGTCAGGCTTCTTACTGGCTAACTCTCACATCTTGATTAACCCATTTTTCTGATCTATGTTAGCCATGTGGCTTAGTACCTTTTTCAGTGGGGCAGCTCACATCCTGCTGCTTTGGTGATCTGGGCAGGAGTGGGAGGAATCAGCTTCCTCCTTCCCAGAATTCTCCTGCTCTCCTTGCATCATTTCCACTTCTTGTCTAATTTTCCCGCCTACACCTCCTGCCTGGCCAATCAGCAGTTTATTTAAAACATGATTGACAGAATACAGACAATTCTCCCGCACCCTGCTCTTCCGACTACATGAGTGAGAGTGGGCCGTATGTCATCTCAGAGGTTAGCACGTGCCTGCCTGTTAAACACTTCACAAACAAACGATAAGGGACAAAAAAAATCAAAATTCTAAAACTACCAGTGGGAGCTGTCTTAACATTGATGGCAAAGCTTTAAAAGGGAAACAAATGAGCTCTTAAAATTTCACGAGAAAAGTGAACACAGCCGCGCAAGAATGCACCCACAACAGAAAGTGGTGTGTGGGACATACCTGTTCAGACACTTCTAAGTGGAAGGTTTTCAGAGCTTGCTGAAACTCCGCCTTTTCTAAAAGCCCACTGCCTTCCTTGTCCAAGTGTTGGAAATGTTTTCCCAATCCAGTCAAAATCCGAACACCTTTCTTGTGTAGCTGTTGTTTTAGTTTATCTGTTTAATAAACAGAGACATGGACACTATTGCTTCTGTGCACAAAGCCATCAAAATGCAGGTGTTTCTCTTTTAAGAAAGCAAGCTAATCATAATGCAAATAAGGAACGTTGATATTCAATGAAAACCTTAAATTGGACTGAAAAAGGCCTTCGGAAAGAAGAATGGTTTAGTAAAGACAATGCCAGCACAACCACATGTTCAGAATCTGCCAAGACTACAGCACCACCGTGTGGAGAAACGGTTACATTTTACATCCAGATAAAATCCTCTCTCTTTACTCAGAATAATCGAAATGTTACAAATGAAATTCTAGTTTCTCTTGTTTAGATCCCTTTATCTAACTACCCCATATCCTCACTGTCTTTCTTATTTCTTTATTTACACTAACTGAATTACAAAATTGATGTCAGGCAAATCACACACATACACACACACATGCACACACACGCACGCAATCCATTCAGAAATTTTAAGTAGTTTGAAAGTTTCAAACTGGATCATGATGTGCCAAGTGGCATCAAGGTTTTGGAATACTAGGCTATGCATATATATTTACAGTAACATTATTTTTCCAGAAATTCTTAGAGGTTACATACTCTGGCTTCTAGATTCTCCATGTAGCACAGCTATTTCATTTGATGCCATCTGTATCATATTACAATGAAACATTAGAAAAAAAGAAAAGAAAAAGTCCCTTGCCTCAGTAGTGACAAAAATTGTATCGTCTATGGCAGAGCAAGAAGGAAAGAAATGGTGAAGGAAGAGCTGCAAAGAGTCGACACAAAGTTGCATGTCGACTAGACAGCAGGGTCTGTTTACAGACAACAGAACCCATTCAGCAGATCATGAACTGGAGACATACAGTCAGGCACTGAACCGGGAGTTCCTTCAGGATGCCATCTGAGAGATAAAACAGGTATATAGTGGTCCATGCCCATAATCCAAGAGCTCTGGAGTAGAGGTGAGAGGATTGCCATGAGTTCCAGTACAGCCTGGTCTGCAGTGAGTACCAATCCATCTGAGCTCCAATGTCCAATGTGAGTCTCTCTCTCTCTCTCTCTCTCTCTCTCTCTCTCTCTCTCTCCCCCCATATATGTGTGTGTATGTATATTTCTATGTATTTTGTATGTGTATACACACACACACACACACACACACACATATATATATAAACACCTATACACTGTGGCCCAAGGACATGTGTCAGGGGATAAAGGTACCTGTCCCCAACCCTGATGACCTGAGTTTGAGCTGCGGGAAGAACTGACGCCTGCAAGTTGTCATCTTACCTCGCTCCCATGCTGTGTCCCACGTGCCCACACACAGAACCTCACACATGCACAAGTCAATAAATTTAAAACATTTTAAAATTCAGGTTCGTAATTTATTTAGCTTAGAACTAAAATCATAGTATTTAATACTTTTAAAATTATTGTTATAATTCACATGCTTTTGATTTAGTACCATTAAAACAGAAAAATCATGAAAATATTTTAATAACTATTTTATTAGTTATTTATGTATATATTTGCATGTCAAGATATATTTTATTAACTATTTAACTTTTTTTTGTCTAGGTGTGGGTACATATTCACATGCTTGTGGGTGGTTATAGAGACCAAAAGAGGGCATGAGATCTCCCAGAAGTGGAGTTACAGAAGACTGTGAGCTACTCGGTGTGAGTGTTGTGAACCAAACTAAGGTCCTCTAGAGTAGCAGCAAGCTCCTCTCCTTGCTTAGTCATCTGCCCAGCCCCATAAAAATACTATATTATATATATATAATACATATTATATATATATTACACATAATGAAAAGATATACTATTTTTAGAAAATATTATACTTCCTAAAAAATAAGATTACAAATCAAAGTCTATAAAACGTGGAAGTAACAAAAATGTTGTTTGAACTGATGACACGGAAACTAGTTGAGAATTATAAATAGTATTTAAGGGTGGAGAAGCACACAGCATACCCTGAATGGCCCGCAGCACCTGCCGATCCTGCGCCTCCTGACTGGCCGTGTCTTCCACGTGTTCCACAGAGGCGGCTCTGCAATGAGAACAGAAGCTCTGAGCCACCTTTCCCCACTCCAAAGATGCTCTCAGCAGACCTGGAGGAATACAAGCTAGAGGAAATCCCACCTCTGCCCACTGCTATTGGTTTTATGGAGAATTACGGCCAGAGCTATAAAAGGGCCACAATCTTTGAAGACATTAATGTTTATAACTGCTGTAATGTTGTCAAATACTTAACTGTAACTTCATTTTAAAAGCAGTTGTAGCTTGCAAAGTATAAACTGTAAAAACACTTTTATAGGCCTGAAAGTACAATAATAAATAACAAATATTCTTACGTCTAGACTGTAGACTGTGTTCTCTTATATATATACAATACATCAATTATTACCATTTTGATTCTATGTAGGGTCAAGAAAACATTCAACAAGAAGAGTGTGTATTTCTATTATTTAAAATAACCCTTGATATTGCTCATTCATAACATTGTTTCACTATGTAGTCAATCAATTAATAGCATCACCTTAGGGGCCATAGCTTTTCAGTGATCAAAGGCATCACATCAACCATGTAGGAAATAGTTTTAATGTTGGTCTGACACCCTGTCTTTGAAAGCACAACTTTGATAGCATTTAGTAAAATAGCAAAAACGAATGAACAAATTATTCATACTATAAATAAAATAATTTTAAAATTTTACTGGTCATAACCGTTCCGAAACATGGAAGTGAGTTTGATTATAATACAGAATATAAAGTAGATATATGCAGCTATTATTTTTAGATATAAACCTTAACTTTAGTATGAGTGTTTTGTGATGGGAACACAAATTACAGGGATTCACTTATTTTCAAAATGGCAAATGCATTTGACTTACTTCAGAGAACTCAAAGTTATCTGATCAATATTTGTAATTCGGAGTCTAAATAATGTATTTTCTTTTATGCTCTTTGGAAGGCTAGGATGATCACAGCTCAAAAATGTCAAAGTTGCACCCTGAGGAAATGAACAAACAGACTTTTTAAAGCTAGAAGGTATCCAAAGTTAAAAGACAACTCATTCTGATTGAAGGGATTTAATTTTTTATTATAATTGCCTTAGGATATTCTATTGGTAACCAAAATATAGTAGATTTGAAGAATACTTAAGGACTACATGGTTCCAGCTAATACTATAGAAACACGAGCTAATTAAAAAAAAAAAAAACCTAACACAGTATACTTACTCCCATACAATAATCCACCTGAATAAAGAATTCATATATTAAATAAGAACCTCAGGAAATATTACGTGAACTCCACTGAATATGTAGCCATCCCTGTGGTGGTTAGTTCTGTCAAGATGACGTAATGCATAGTTGTTGCGAATTACGTTGGCACGATAAACAACCGGGCCAGCTCAAGAATAACAATTATATTTTAATGGTTATAAGGGGAAACTCAGGATACAAGAGTGGGAGGTCCGACTTCCTATCTGTCCCGCAGGAGCCACACATACACACACACACACACACACACACACAAAGAGAGAGAGAGAGAGAGAGAGAGAGAAAGAGAGAGAGAGAGAGAATGCACCTGGGTCCTCCCAGTTTTTTCTTCCTGGGCTCCAGGTAGCCACGCCTTAACTCGATGTGATTGGTTGACAGAGCTTCCCCATCACATAGTCACCTGGGGAGCAGGACTACCTTAGGCTGAACAATGAGCATGGACATGGACGGCAGGGGAAACTATCTTTTTAACACTGAGTTGGGAAGACCCATCCACTGTGGGTGGCATTATTCCCTAGACAGGGGATCCTGGATGTCTAGGACTGGAGAAAGCCAGCTGAGCAAATCACGCTTGCCTTGCCAGTGCATTGCTCTCTGTGCCTGGCTGTGGATGTGACATGACAGATGGCTTCAATTCCCTGCCACCTGTGATTTTCCTGTGACGATGACTGTAAACTGGAATTGTGAGCCAAGAAAACCTTCTCTCCCTTCTGTTGCTTCTATCATGGTATTTCATTACAGCAACAGACGGGGGTAAAAAAAAAAAACTAAGACAATCCCCAAGCCAGAGCTCTTGGTTCACAGAAAGATGCTGTGTAGATTTGGGAACTCTGAGGGGAGCAGAGAAAAATGTAGAGCTCAATAAAAATCAATTAAAAAAAAAAAAGAATGGGAAACTCTGGTAGACTGATCATACTCTTTCACTTGGTTTTTGGATGATAGACATTGCAAAACTATAAAACCAACTTTTAACCTGATTAGAGCATCAAAGTTTCAATGACAAAATTCCGACCAAAAATTCTTAACCCAAACTACAGAATTACTATTCTAATTTCAGAATTGTTCTCCTATACCTGTGACCAATGTAAGGGCAAACACAAATTCAATAAAAGAGGCTTCATTCTTCCTACAAAAAAAAATAAGAGAAAAACAATAAAGGGAGTGTTTCCTTTTCCTCCTTCTTGGAAGAGTTCCTTTAGAAAATTAATAATTGGCATAGGCACTTTCTTCTCCATTTGAGGTGTGTATAACTTCTTTTGGAAAATAGATATTTATTGGTAGATTTATGGCCAAGGAAAGTCTTTCTACATAACCAGAAACCACTCTAGGAAAGGTAAATATCAAGGGAGAGACAACGCACAAAAGCTGCTCCCGTACACGAATCTGCTGAGCCAACCTTTCAAAACGTATACTATAAATACAAAGTGAGGGTAACTCTTCCTTCTTCCCTCTCTGCCTTCTTGCCTCTTTCCCTCCCTTTCTCCACTCCTGACTCCTTCCTACTTTCTTTCTTCCTCACTTTCATGGAATAAAAGAAGGAACTGAATTCCCACATTTGGTTCACATGAAGGGGGCGGGGAGGATAAGCATAGATCAGCAACTACACCAGATTTCTACAACAACCGCTCAAAAGTGGTAGCTCCTGTCACCTCCAATAGACTGTAAGCATGTCATCTTTGAGCTACATGAGAAGGATCCAAACTTTCTTTCTCTAGACGTCAAGAGACAAGTATTAACATCATGGGCATTGAGCATTTAACCCATGGTTAAGATACCTAGTGTTTCTTCCTCCTTTACTCCTTCCAGACTTGGTCATTGCATCTTGGTGCTTATATCACCTAAGGATTTGTTTCCTAACTTCCTTTTTAGCCATTGTCAGTTGCTTATCAAGGTTGCTATATTTGATTGGAATATAGTCACAGAGTGGGGGTGAAAGAAAGGCGACTTGGACTGAGGAGATTGCTCAGTTGGCAGAGAATTTAATCTTGCAAGCAGGAGGAAAGGATCAAATTCCAGAATCCATGTAAAAAAATCAGGTTTGGTAGTGCAGCGCACGCATGCGCACGCGCGCACACACACACACACACACACACACACACACACACACACACACCATGAGTTCTCTCCTAGTTTATCCTTCCAATCTATGCCTGCCTTATGTGCCTGGTCTTCAAACCATCCCACACATTGAAATCAGAAAGCTATTTCTAAAGTACAAATCTGATCATATAGCCTCTCCATTCTACCAACATCCTCTTTTCAGTGGCCCCTTGATATATTACATATTGCTTTTTAATATTAGCCTACTTTTTATTTAGTTGTGGGAGAGAATGGATGCTTGTGTGTGGGAGTCAGAGAACATCTTTAAGTAGCATACCGTATGTACGATCCACCCTTTTAATTTTTTTATAAGACCAGGTCTCTCTCTGGTCCAGAACTCACCAAGAAAACTAAGCTGTGTCCAGCCCATAAAGCTAGACTGACCTGTCTCTGTCACCCTAGCACTGAGATGACAAGTCGTTAATTCATCTCTGACAGCATTTTTCTAGGAAGTCTTACAGTTTATACAGTTGGGTCCACTGTTTCCCCAGTCTGACCCGTAACTGATTCCCATTATACTCCAGTTACCACAAAGCAAAGAATGGCTTTGGCTTACCCAGTTTTCTATCTCCAGTGTTTAGAATGTGAGCATTTATTAGTATTATAGGGATTATCGGTACAGAGAATGTTTCATTGTAATTGTACGTGAATTTAATAATTTAAAATTCAGCACACTGGGGGATACGGGAGAGTCACAAGAATAAAGGCTGTCATAGTCACAGCTCCAGAGGACAGTGCCACTCTACAAAGAAAATCAAGCACCTCCTTAGCTGTACTATGGCTCCCAGGGCTACCAAGGTAGCCTCCTACCCAGAACAGGCCTCCTACAGAGAGTTTCAAAAGTACTAAGAGCCACGCTCTGTTGGCAACAGTCTCCACTAAGGAACATTGTGTGTATGCTTATAGAAAATAAATATTATGCTTACGATTATGATTGGGATTTATCTGGGAAGCAGAGCCTTCTTGGGAAACGTCCATTCGCCATTCACACAAATGTCTCTGCTCGCGAAAATAAACTGGACCCTCACCTCCTGCTCCACACCAGAGCCATGCACACAGTCTGACACAAGGCGTTAAGTGCCAGCCCACACTCAAACTTACAGTATAGAAGTCGCCGAGCCGGTACTGCTTCCCTTTTCTGCGTCCACACTGATGACTATAAATGTCTTTTTTAATGAAAGGAAGCACGTTTGTTCTAGAAGTTAAACAGCAACAGCGACAACAAAATGAAGTCATCCAGTTCCCCTTGGAAGCAGTTCTATAGGGTTCTTAACAGTGTTCCAAAGCCTACCTGTTTTTCCCGAACTTTCGATATTCATACACAGTTAGAGACTGGTCGTGGGTAAAGAAAAACCCGATCAGTTCTCTGCAGGCATCGCGTCCATTTCTAGCAAAACAATGTCAATGATTTTTAAATTAAATAGGAAACTTAAGAACATTTATCTTGAGCAGCAATAACTTAAGTCCCTTGAATGTGTGGCAGTGAGTACGGGTCACACGGGTTTGTGGGAAACACACCACCGCTTGTGGAAAGCCCCGACTCAGTTCGATTTGGAAATATCTATTATGAAAAGACATAGGCTGAACAGTGGTGAGCATCTGGCTCTGTTACAACGCAGGTTGCTAAGCTACAGAGACTTAAGATAAAGCAGGTTTTAAAATGCTAAGCTTGCAAAATTTACAAGATTGAGGTAAAAAAAAATTTAAAACGCCATCTTCTTTGTCATTGGTTCTATTAGCAATCTGTTAACTAAAACTAAATTAAACATCGGACATAAAAATTAATTTTTAAATGATTTAGAATCGTCTATTCATAATACACTAATTAATCCAATCTTTTCAAAAGTCTTACTTTCAAATATTCTTACATAAAATATTTATCTTACAGTGTCCTGTTTTATATAACAATAAAGCCATGGCTTAAATTTAACCCCAAAATTCACATATTTCAGTATTAGTATAAATTTATCTAATCTTGACATTTCTATGAAAGAAGAGAATATATTATTATAAGTAAAAAAAAATTGATAAAGTGACAGTTACCTTGATAAGACCCTCCCATCAAATTCTACCTTCTGAGAAAGGTCATTCTCTGTTAATGTGGAGGTGGTTCTTATCCTGCCAAAACACATTCTGTAAGTCATTATTTTTGAATAATCACAATTGATACAAGTGACAAGTGCACCAAAGGGCTGTGGCAAGATTCTGAAAGGGCACAGATTTAAACTGAAAATGAAAATTCAGAGTGTGAATACATAAAGACACAGAAGACACAGTGCCCTGAGCCATACCACTGTCTTCTCCTTCCATTTCCTTTCCTTTGCTATTATACCCTTACTATGTAGTCTGTGCTAGCCCCGGCATGTGCTGGGGCTACAGACCAGAGCCTGCCCACCAGCTCAGAACCCATTTCTAACCCTGTTCTCATGCCTTCCTCCCAGCATAGTGTTGGGTTTCTTACCACCTGCAGTTGTGACCAACAAAAGCACCTTTCACCTCACGTGAAAGATTCTTGTCCTTGTGAGATGGGAGTATGGGTAGAATTCCCTGCCTGTGAACAGCAAGGGGAGTACAATGGCAGAATCAGCTACAGCCCAGAGATGCAGCACCATGAGCCGTATGACCAAAGCAACATATGCCTACTTCCAAGTCACTACGTTACTACACAGGAGGGCAAATCCTGACACCCTGAGCCCGATCGGTCAAACTGTCTCTAACAGCTGATTCTATTCCTCACCAGAAAATGCTGAGAAAGAGTGCTGGATGAATGAACCAAGCTCAGGCTTTGGGGTCTAACAACTATATGTCTTCATACTCTACAGAGAGCATTGCTGACATTCTAAAGGTTCCTAGCCCTAAAAGTCTTTAAAATATGAAGCAAAACTAGAATGGACACCCTTGGATACCCTATTCTTAATGATATCCTTTACCTTAAGGGATAAGAGTTAATGATAGCCAGGCGGTGAAGGCATGCACCTTTAATCCCGGCACTCAGGGAGGCAGAGGCAGGTGAATCACTGTGAGTTCAAGGCCAGCTGATCTACAAAGTGAGTTCCAAACAGCAGAGACACACAGAGAAACCCTGTCTCAAAAAAGAAAAGGGAAGGGAGGAAGGAAGCAAGCAAGGAAGGAAGCAAGCAAGAAAACAAGAAAGAAAGAAAGAAAGAAAGAAAGAAAGAAAGAAAGAAAGAAAGAAAGAAAGAAAGAAAGAAAGAAAGAAAGGAAGAAAGAAAAAGAGTCAATGATTGCCATTACTGTTCATCTAGCTCTATGAAAACTGCAGGAATAATGAAATAGCAGGGGTATGATAGCAAGAATGCAGACAGTAGTCACTGGAAACAGTTAAAGGTGTTGCCCCTCTAACACCTCTAACACCCACAGAATAGAAGCTGGAGCTAGGAAAGAACAGTCTGCTAACCCAACGAGAGTTTGGGAACACAGGGAGGGGCCCTGAAGGCTGCAGCATCTCAATTCGGTGTAACCCACTGGAACTAATGAAGTCATCGAGCATTCGCTATGTTCCTGGAATGACTTTAAATGCTGGGAAAAGAGCAGCGGCAGCAGGACTGGCTGCCATTTATTGAGGGCTTTGTAGACACTAGTCACCACCAAATCACTTTAATATCCAGTGGTTTATTTAATGCTTGCAATAAAATTTACAAATAAAATTGTGAGGTAAGTGCTACTATCCCCGTTGAATAAACATATTTATCGTGGAAGACAGGATAGGTCGCTGCTTACAGCCGTATGAGCCCATAACAGATGTGGAAACAACCTTGCTCTTATTACAATTTATTATTTCTTAGTCACGAGCAAAGGTGAGAGGTGAGGTAACTGCAACAAGGATCCTAGAGTCATCGCAAAAAGATATAAGCAAATACATATTTATGTTACAAAATGCAGAGTGCCACATTAGGTTCGAGGTGCCCAAAGTAGCACACATGTTTCTCTATTTAAGTTCTCAATCCGTTCAAAAGGAAGAATGAAGCACATTGAATACTAAATAAAAGTAACTGTTTGACAAAGTTGGTGGAAAGCACAGTTTAGGTGTGCAGCAACAACACTGTTTGGCACTAGAATTACACAGACTAGCTGCTTCTTTTTACTGGTGAAAAATCTATAAAGTTAGGCACAGCGATGGAATGTATGCATCTGCTGGAGGCTGTCCCCAGAGAAAAGGCGGGGGTCTGTACTCCTCCTCCTCCTCTTACTCCTCCTCCTCTTCCTCCTTCTCTGGTGAAAACAAAAGATTAGGAAGCCATGGATCTGAAAATCCTAATCAACAATCCCCATGGGATTTTTCTGAACTGGATTGCCTGTAAACGAGCTGCGTGTATTTGGTATGAAGCAATACTTAGACAGGTGCAGGGAAACAGATGAGACAAAGTATACAGACAATCTAAAAATAGGTTGGAAAATTGGTCAAACTCCACACGAGGACATCTGGATGAACAATGCACACGTGAAAATTAATCAGCATCATTAGTCTGCAATGAAATGCAAAATAAAATCACCAATACACATTCAGTTGGAGAGAGACAATGAAAAAGACAGGCACCACCAAGGGCTGGCAAAGATGGACAGCAATTAGACCCCTCGCCCTGCCTCCGGCTCCGGGGTTACTGTTTGCCAGTGCCATGGAGAGCTGAACATGGGCATACTAAGTGGTCCATAGAGGCAAAGTATTCACTCAGCATAAGGGAGTATGCACAAGCAAGTTCACAGCAGTATAATCCATAAGTTACTAGGCGTGTTAAGCATCTGTGAGTCATAAGTTGTGATATATTCACATAATGGAATGATGGACAGCATGAAAAAAACAACTGAAAATGACAACGTGGAGGACATTCCTAAAAATAATATTGGGGAACAAGCATTAGACATACTTCATTGAGAATCTTTATAAAGCATCATATTATATTGATGATGATGATGATGACGACGACGATGACAGTAAAAGAGAAGAAGACAGACAGACAGACAGATAGATAGTATTGCAGGGTGTGGGGACTAGATCCAGGGCTAGAGAAGTGGCTCAGCTGTTAAGAACCTAAGCTGCTCTTACAGGGGATCCAAGTCTGAATCTCTGCACCCCTCCATGCCGGATCTCTCATAACTGTGTGCAACTTCAGCACCAAGGGATCCAACCTCTCTGCCTCCCCCAGGCACTGGTGCTCAAGTAAACATATTCAGGCAGCGATATGCATAGTCACATAATAAAATTTAAAAGACTTTAAACCGTAGACATCAAATTTTCTGCTTTCTCTTTTTTAATTTTAATCGATGGGGTTTGGACATAGTAAGAACAGGACTCAGCGGTGAAGTGGAGAAGAATGAGTTAGGACAGTGGTCGTTATGGGGTATTGTTCATGCTTAGTGTCTCCATGTGGGAGTTGGACACATGAATATTGATCTATTTGTCGTGGTTCCTATATCATAATTTCAAATGTGTACACTGTTTGAAATTATGCCTCATTTCAACTTACTTTAAAAGGAAACCACTTAAATATACAGTAGAGATATTAAATATACAGAATGGATATTAGATATACAGTAGACAAGTGATGGTTTACTCCCTCAAGATAGCATAGTCTAACACTCAGAACATGCAGAAATGTTAGCCATACATAATGAAAGAAACTTGGAATCTGTGACTAAGTTGAAGAGCCTACCATAGGGAGATTATCTGTGTTATTCAGGCAGGTTCAATACAACCATCTCTCTCTCTCTCTCTCTCTCTCTCTCTCTCTCTCTCTGTGTGTGTGTGTGTGTGTGTGTGTGTGTGTGTGTGTGTGTGTTGTGTGCATGCAATAAAGTTTTATCTACAAAGGAGTATCGTAAGTTCTGACCAGTTATTCTGGGCTTTGAAGATGGAGGAAGAGGCCATGAGTCCAAGAATAAAGAAAACCTCAGAAGCTGTGAAAGACACGACTAAGTCAGCTCCTTATTTTTAGACTTTGTATCTCTAGAAGTATGTGAATAAATTTTATTGTTTTAAAATATTGTACACAGCAATGCATTGTTTGTAGGAATGGTTCCTGTGTGAAAACAGGAATCTAGCACATTATCCCTCAAATATTTGAATGTAAAAACAATAAACTAAGAATGAGACAAAATGGTAAGACAAACATTTATAGCAGTCTGAAAAGATAGACGAGCTATTGTGTACAATAGATTTCCTATTAAATATGAGGCTGAATGTCAATTTTCAGTAAAGTCATTAAGTTCAGTGGGCTATGCCAAAGGACTGGAAACATTCCCATTAACGGCTACAATTAGGATCTAATAAGACCCCTAGACTATGTGTCAAAGGCATGGTTACCCTCCTAGGGATCTAGAATGAAATGAACTAGTTAACAGGCAGGGCATGTCTGGAATGATGGTCCTTTATATATTACATAAGTCTGATTTAGTCAGGTACCATCCCCAGGCAGAGGTGTCTAAAGTATTATATTGCTCATTTTCCCGTCTATATTACCCTGAAAAATTGTGACCTTCCTTCTAAACTATAAATGCAAAAGCTTGGAATGCAAGGACAGAAGAAAGAATAAAAATTTTAAGGAGATGGCACTGAGATCTGAAATCTCAAAACTTACTGTTCTTTATATGGTTTGAAAAACATAGACATGTATAGAAATGTATTTCAACAATTCATCATTACACTTTGCTTACTTCGTTTCATGCAGAGTTCGTTTCCTAACTCGAGGTGGCGTCCTCTCTGAGTCTGGAGGGACATGAGAACTCTCTTGTTCCTCAGTGTTTAAACCTTGTTCTGGATCACTGATGACAGCCCTAGGCAGGAAGACACAAACTCTAGTGTCTAGCGTGACAAAATGTGAGCTCACTTATTTTCAAGCCATTTGAAAAGGTCAGCCACCAGATGGCCATCTGTCCTGTTGTCATAATAATGTTTGCCACACATGAGTGTACTGAAAATATTCAAATAATATTCACAAAAGGTGAATGAAGTTATTTGTATTTTCATCCAAATGGAACATCGGGACACCTAGAAATTCTGAAGGGAAATGAGAGCTTCATGGTTCTCTCTAGGCATTCTTCAGACCCTTTGCTTGTCTCTGATAACACGGGGAGGGATGTTGGTAAATAAGACTTGCCCCAGTCTGCTTTCTGTTTCTGTATAAGCCCTGACCAAAGGCAACTTGGGGCAAAAAGGGTTAATTTCATCTACTCTTTACAGTTCATGATCAAGGGAACCAAAGCAGGAGCTTGAAGCAGAACCAAGAGGAAGGATACCCGGTGGCTTTCTTCCAGGCTCAGGTTCAGCTACAGTCCAGAACACCTGCCTCAGGATGGTACCAATCAAAGAGCTGTCTTACAGCAATCAACAATCAAGAAAATGGTCCCACAGACATGTCCACAGGTCAGTTTGAGAGAGACAATTGTCAATGGAGATTCTCTCTTCCGTGTATACTCACATGTATTTTTAATACAGTTATACCACCTAGGGTGGCAATTCTCCTCCCAAAAGCCATAGACTATGTAACAAAAATCCAAGTGCCTAACATGGGAAACCCCCCTGTTGAGTTGCTAGTCAAGGGAATTCAAAGACTCCAAAAACAATATTGTCATTGCATTTGGTTGCCTCCTAGAGACACTGAACGTAAGACCATATTGCTGAAGATGCCATGAATGCTGAATGGAGGACTTGAAGAAATCAATTGGATCTGACCTAGAACCTCCTCCCTGAGGCTATAATCCCTATAATACTAAATCTATAATCCCTGTAGAAGTTGTACAAGCTGCCAAGGGAGAAAGGTGATCAGTAGCCCTACCAACTCCAGTGCCTACAAACGACAGCATTGAGGACAATGGCAAGATATCTCAGAAGGGGCACATATTGCCTGGGGTTAATGAATGGTTGGCTAATTGGACTTGAAGCTCAATAGGAGGACATCCATACCTGGAACTACAAACCTGGCCAACCACCCATGTTTGAGGAGGCCATTGGGCCCTTGGGGAAACCGCTTTCCTAAACCAGTATAATTTGTAGCTATATTCTAAATACCCTTATATCCACAGAGGAGTGTATCTCATGCTCATTCAAAAAAGATTCTTTTTTCAGAAGACAGAGATCATTAGAGAAAGTCCCAAATGGAAAAACTTCAGAGAATAACATACTCTGGCGTGCCTAACCTCAAGTATACCACACATATCTACAACACAAGCCCTAAGCCTAAGGCTCGGGGAACATCATGGAAGGAAACATAGAGAGACTGAAAGAGCCAGAGGACCAGGATGTCACCTGTGGATAGGATCTGCTGTATGCGCCAGGAAAGCTATACCCATGAAATCTCCACAATATGGCTGCCTAAATAAGACCTGAAAAATGACAACACATGCTAACGTGGATGAGGGAGTCTCATAAGGCCCACACTGAGATGAAGAGCTACAGGCAGTTAGAGACTGCTGCAAAGGAGTATCAGTCTTCTTCAATAATGAGTCCCTGATAGCTTACTCAATCCCAAGTGAGACATATGAACATCACTAAAGGGACTTAGCAGGGTGTGTGTGTGTGTGTGTGTGTGTGTGTGTGTGTGTGTGTGTACATGTGTGTGTGTGTGTGTGTAATAAAAATAAGAGCCCATGAGTTGGGGAGGGTGGCACAAGAGGAATAAGAGAGAGGAGACAGAGAGAAAATGATGTAAATATAGTACTTATATGTGAAATTCTCTAAATTAATTAAATTCTAAAAATTACAAATGAGCAAACATGGTAAAAGGTGTCATGAGCCTTCAAAGACAAAATACCACTTGAGAAATAGAGGAATTTATGAACTGATTAAGTTTCCTCAATTGTGGGAACAACCAGAAAAGCTTTAAGTGTTTCTATATTATATTTTAGATACTATTTATTTGTGAAACCAAAGAACCATTATTTTAATTAAGAAAATTTTTTTTAATTTTCCAGAATTAAGCCAAAATTTACTGAAAAGTGGCATCACTTCTCTTTTATCTCTCTCTCCCACCTTCTCCCTCCCTGCTCATGTCTGCACACACATGCAACAGTTGTACCACTCAATGTTAAGTGCATATACACAGAATGTTAGAGTTATATGAAATGTTGAACTTATTTTAGCAAACACAAAAATCAAGACATGGAGAGAGAAAATATAAAGAATCAACAAATCCTTTAGTTATGTGGTTAAACACCAAATTCAGCTCTGCTGCTTCCCATTAGGTCCCCCTTTCTAGTTTTTACTCATAAATTGATGAGAATGCACTGTACAAATACAATACCAGGCCACAGGAATGCAATTGTGCCGAGAGAAAGCTCCCAAAGCATCTTGCCCTTGGGGAGCACATGCTCCAAAGAGGAAGACAGAAAATAAACAATGTAAGAGACTATGACATACACTACACATTCATGATTGCTATGTGTATTAGATGGGGTTTCAATTGCTGTGAAGAGAGAATATGACTATGGCAAGTCTCATACAGGAAAGTATTTAATTGAGTAGCTTACACTTTCAGAGGTTTAGTCCATTATCATCATGGTGGGACATGGAGGCATGCAGGAAGACATGGTACTGGAGAAGGAGCTGAGAGTTCTACATCTTGATCCACAGACAACAGGAAGGGAACTGTGTCACTAGGAAGAGCTTGAGCATAGGAGACCAGAAAGCTCACCCCCACAGTGACACATTTCCTCCAACTGACCACACCCACTCCAACAAAGCCACACTTCCTAATAGTGTCACTCTCTATGGGGGATCATTTTCTTTCTAACCACTACACTATGGGAGAAGAAATGGTAAGTGGATTTGAAGCTATGAACAAGAATTTATGAATTACTTATTAGATTATTTGCTAGACAGTTTTTGACATGAGGAGGGAGTCTCAGCTGAGAATATGCATCCATAAAATTGGGCTGTGGGCAAGCCTAGAGTGAATTTCTTTAATCAGTGATTGATAAAGGAGGGCCCAGCCTATTGTAGATGGTACCATCCTTGGGCTGGTGGTCCCAGGCAATTCTGAGAGAGCAAACCAGTAAACATCACCCCTCTATGGCCACTGATTAGCCATAATTAGTAGGAACTCCAGGTTCCCACCCTATTTGCGTTTCTGTCCTGACTTCCTTCAGTGATAAATAGTGATGTGAAAGTGTAAGCCAAAAATGCCCTTTCCTCCCCATGTTGTTTTGGTTATGCTGTTTCATAATAGCAAGAATGCCCTTAACTAGTAGCAGTGTCTACAGCAAGCTGAACCAGCGTGACTTCCATAGAAAAATATGAAGCAAAATGAGTGAACAGCAGTATAGGTTTCTAGGGAAAATGTCATCTTCACAGGGGAGAAAATAATGAAAAAGAATGGAGACAGCAGCAGGACCTAGCATGTTCCAGAAAGGGAGCAAGCTTGTGATACATGGAGAGAAGCTGATGATACAGGAGAGGGGGAAGGCAGAATAGAGTGAGGAGGTGTAGAGCCCAATTGGAAAACAGGTTAATGTAGGTTCAAGTTGGATGTAGCAGTAGCCCTGATCCAATTGATCAATGTGACCTCACCTAGACAGAATGTTCACTTTGATGAGTGCTGTTCTTTATTGAACTAAGTCAGGTGAATATGAGTTGGCTGGGAATCTGATGATCTACAGTGCTTCTGGATAAGTAACCCAGCTGTATTGACAAAGGAATCTTTTTCTGGAGACTATTTGGTAAGCCAAACAGTATTCCTTTAGAGTTTTGGGAAAACAAAACACAAAAGTATAAACAGAAATACATGCAGATTCTTAAGGCCTAAGCTCAGAGCTGACATCATTTCTTTTGTTCATATATGGTTTGTCTAAGTAATCAGTGACATCTGACCTGCTGTGGTGGTTTGGAATATGGTCTCCATAGGGATGTGGGGGTGGACTTTGAGGTTTCCTGTGCTCAAGCTACTCCCAGTGTGACAGTCTACTTCCTGCTGCCTGCATATCAACATGTAGCAGCTCCTTCTCCAGCACCATGGATGACTGTATGTTCCTATGCTCCCCAACAAGATGATAATGGACCATCTTAGTTAAGGTTTTTATTGCTGTGAAGAGACACCATGACTATGTAACTCTTACAAATGAAGACATTTAATTGGGGTGGCAGTGTACAATTCCACAGTTCAGTCATTCCATTATAGCAGGGAGCTTTGTGGCAGGCAGACAAGGTGCTGGAGAAGTAACTGAGAGTTCTACATTGTGCAGGCAACAAGAAGTCAACTGAGTCACTGGGCAGTATCCTGAATATAGGAAATCTCAAGCCCCACCCCCACAGCTGACACACTTCCTCCAAAAAGGCCATACCTACTCCAACAAAGCTACACCTCCTAATAGCATCATTCCCTATAAGATTTTTGGGAGGCAATGACATTCAAACTACCACATGGACTGAATCTCTGAAACTATAACTTGCCACCTCAAATATTTCCCTTTATAAGAGCTGTTGTGGTCATGGTGTCTCTTTACAGCAATAGAAACCCTAAATAAGACACCAACCAAGTCTAGCCTGAAGACACATGGAAAAAATTACTTTTAGCTACTAAATTTTGACATTTTATATAATCAAGAAATTATTGAATTTCCTGGGATTGAGCTAGGTAATTGATTAATGATTTCATCTGGTGTGTCTTCCAACTGTTTCACTCTAATGAATAAGTTGATAATAAATAAATAAGAAGTTAATAAAGAACCAACGAAAGCCAGTCATAACTGAAAGAAATTATCCAGGAGCTAGGAAGTGACAACAAGAAGAAGGGTGGCAATATAAGAAATGGACTTAATTTGCTAGAACTGAGTCTTTGTCAAGTTGATATTGAAGTTGAAAAAAGAAATGGGTCAAAGGCATCACTAAAACTTGGGAACTAAATAATTTCAAGAATGGAATTTCCATGGAGGAAAATTAAAAGAGCTGGTCATGTAAGAAAATTTAGATTAGAAAAACAGGAAATCAGAATCTTGAAGATTAATGATGTACTGGAAGAAGTTTGATATCAGGAGGTAAATATGTTGGAGATGAAATTCATTGACCACATCTAGTGACTATGGATGAACAAGAACTGAGAATAAGAGGCTGCAACAAGAACAGCCAAGTGAGGTGAGCGCAAGGCAAGCAAATAGAAGAACATTTCTTCAAAAGGATTAAAGTTCTCAATGGAGACAAACGCTGATGATGGGCGAAGACACTGAGTACTAAGAAGTCCCTTTAACCAGCGACATGACATCACCACTTTCCTTATGAAAAGAAAGAGACATCTTGCAGACTGACTTCACAGAACTTGTTGGCACTTCAGGCAACATATGGAAGGCCCTGAGTTCAAACTCCAGCGCCAAATGCAGTAAAGAAAAAGGAAGAAAAGGAATATGCTAAACAAATATGGATAGCCCCCAAATGAAGCATGTTTTTGTCACGCTTCAAATTATGTTATGTATATTTCACACTGCTTTCTGAGGGATTTAAAAGTTATTGACAATTATGGTCACAGTTCTCAACTCTACACCAGTCATCTCGGTTACCACAGTGACTCTGTGGGATATTCATTTCTAGTAAATGGAGAGATAGGATGCTCATCACCATTTGGAAACCATAGCAACTGGCTCAAGGGTAAGTCCTAGTTTCCTCAAGAGGCCTTACTAATCTCCTTAAATGATATCACATCTTTGAAAAGCCAGTTTTCTACAGGTGCTATGACAACAAACCAATGTCATGTGACAATCAATATAGGTCAGAAGGTAACTCTAAATGATTCTATGGTGCCCAAAAGGAGCATACATCCCATTAGAAAGAAATTCTAGAAATCTAAGGCTGAAATAAAAAATGCCATCTTCTAATTTATATGTAATTCATTAGCTGGAAGAAAATAATTAAATAGTTTAAATAAAAAATACTTAATAAAATCAGTAAGTAGAATTTTTAACTGTGTGTGTGAGAGAGATTTGGGCCTGCATGCCTGTGAATATATGATCATGTGAGCACATATGTGCAGGTGTATACCCATGTGACTATACTCCAAAGACCAAGCTCTGGTGTTATTCCTCAGGATTCACCCTTCCTGCTTTGGGAGGATGGGATTGTTTTTTGGTTGTTGTTTTTTTCTTTTGAGACAGGGTTTCTTTGTGCAACCCTGACTGACCTAGAACTTGCTCTGTAGACCAGGTTAGCCTCGAAATCACAGAGCTTCACTTGCCTCTGGCTCCCGGGTGCTGGGATTAAAGGTGTGCACCACCACCACCCAGAACACTTCTTGTTTTTTGAGACAGAGTCTCTCATTGGCCTGGAGCTCACCAAGTAAGCTAGGCTGGCTGACAAGCAAGGCCCAGGGACAAACTTGTCTCCTTTCCTGCATGAAAACTACAGGCACTTGCTACCATGTCTGATTTTTCACATTGGTTCTGAGGATTTAAAGTAGGTCCTCCCGCTTACATGGCAAGCCCTTCACAGACTGAACTGTCTCCCCAGACCGAATGCTAAGTATTTCTACTTATCTCAGAGTGTTTTTGTTTTTTTTAAAAAAGTCACTAAAATGACAAGACTGCTGTGAACAGAAACTTTGGGAACTGCTATCAGCTAGACACTGGTTGGCAAGAACATGGGTGCTTTGTATGAAAAAGATATTTTGTGGTCAGCTTCAGAATACAGATTTGTTATGAGTAGCTAGTCTCACCTGGATAAGTGGTCTATCATCATTTGCTCTGTAACCATTTGCTTCTTCTTCTCTACTGCCACGGTTTCCTGAGAAGATAAAATAAAAACAACTTTATTATCCAAAAAGCAGAACAGTTAACACACATTATAAAATATGAATTTTTTTGCTGATTGTTCCCATAAGTATAGATTATTATTGGTGTTAAATTCCAATTAGTAAATCTTTTTTTAAAAAAATTGGTTTTTCAAGACAGGGTTTCTCTGGTTTCAATGTGTAACAGTCCTGGCTGTCCAGGGACTCATTTTGAAGACCAGGCTGGTCTCTAACTGACAGAGATCCACCTGCCTCTGACTCGAAAGTGCTAGGATTAAAGGCATATGCCACTACTACCCAGCTTATTTTTGAAGACTTATTTATGTATTTTATGCGTATGAATGTTCTATCTGTATGTACACTTGCATGCCAGAAGTGGGCATTAGATCCCAACATAGATGGTTTTAAGCCACCATGAGGTAGCTGAGAACTGAACTCAGGACCTCTGGAGCAGCAGCCAGTGCTCTTAACCTCTGAGACATCTCTCCAGTCCCTTTAAATCTTAAATTACCATTCCCTAAAATGAACACACTAAAATTTCAGTACACATCATGATCTAGTTCCAATAAGTTGCCTTGCATTTCTCAGTCAGAACAAAGGAGGAGAAGGTGGTGACCCTTTTCTCTATGACCCCCCTAATGACACGTCCTGGAAACCCCATCTCAACTTGCTGTAAGGAGATTCTCAACATGAACACTCACATATATATATATATATATATATATATATATAGAGAGAGAGAGAGAGAGAGAGAGAGAGAGAGAGAGAGAGAAAGAGAGAGAGAGAGAGAGAGAGAGAGAGAGAGAGAGAATACTTCATCTAAACAAGTCACAGTAGAGAAGACAAACTGTGGAAACCATTCAGATTTCATTACAAACCTAAAGACAGTTGATTAGGTAGCTCAGCAGGCAACGGCACCTGCTGTCAAGCCTTGTTCAATCTGAGTTCAATCCCCAGGACCCACACGATGAAAGGAGAGAACTGATCCCTGTAAGTTGTCCCTGATGCCCAGATGTTCACAGGGGCATATGCAGGCCCACATACACACACATTCAAATATGCTAATTGCTTAATGGAAAGAAAACTTATATCATAGAAAGAATACAATCTTTCCCCTGTATATAATGAATTAATAAGAATAATCTTTATTCGATTACTGATTGCATCAAACTGCCTTCATAAATGCTTCCTTCTGGATGTGGCATGAGTGTTGTACTCATAAACGCTGGGCAGCAAGAGATACCTGCACAAGGTCAACACAACCAAAATTCTGGCACAGGAGAGGGAAGCGCTCTCCTGGCCCCACTCCTTCCTGAAAAGTTGCTGGGAGACATTAGCTGCTGGACAAAGCAGAACCATTCCTCTTATTCTTCTTTGAAGGTGCGGTCATAATAGGTTTATCATGCTCCCTCGATTGCCCCACCCACATACGTATATGGACAACACCAATCAAACTTAGTGGGTCCCCTCTCTCTCTCTCCTTCCTTCTCTCTCTCTCTCTCTCTCTCTCTCTCTCTCTCTCTCTCTCTCTCACACACACACACACACACACACACACATATACACACACACTCATATAAGACATTAAAAGTTGGGAGAGGGATGTATAGTGGGAAATAAGGAGAGAAGTTGGGTGGATCATATAGAGGGAAATAGGATCACATTTCATTGTCTATGTGTATGAGATTCTCAATGAAAAAATTGGTTAAAAAATTATAAGAACTGTCTTCACATTATTTTTTCACTTACAACTTACCTGAAAATATGTTTTGTTACATTTTAGGAAATATCCAACTGGGAGATTTGTTCAATTCCAGTTAGCTTATCAAGTAACTGCAAACACCAAAGTGTTTCTTTTGAGAGACAGATAAAAGCGTCTCAATTTAAGGAGTCAAATCAAAGAGTGTTCTGATCTCAGAATGCAGTTTCTGCATCTCTACTGCTCACGCCAATAAATAAAAAGAAAAACGATGGCCCCGTTTTAAAGAGAGGCTTTGGAAACTTAGTCTTATTTGAAGTAGGCATAAAATAGCAAATAAGAATGTCAAAATCAGAGCACCAAAATAAGAAGTAAAAAATCCTAAGAAACCTAAGAAATGGGCACAATCACCTAAATAGCAGTCTATAATTAAATTTAGCTTTTATTTGGCAGAAATTTAAGATGTAACATTCACACATCCAAATATGCCCCAAATAGAGTTTATATTGAAAGACCTGGATAAATCCAGATCCCCCTAGCAGGAAAACAGAGCCAAAAATCTAGCAGAAAGAGAAGAATCAGAAATCTAGGATTAGCCAATTTCAGGGTTTTAGGAACTATCTGAAGATAAAGGTAGATTGTAATCTTGAGAGTAATCTTGAGAAACAGGGAGATTCTCCCTAGTAATTATCACCCCCTAGTAATTATCATTGGTATAGGAACTAGCTGATTATGACCTTGAGAATGATCTTGAGGGGCAGGGAGTTCCCCCCTTGTAATTATCACTGGAATTTTCGGAATTTTCTGTGACACCCTCTCTGCCCCCCTTTCGGATTACTGGGCTGTGTGGTTTCTTCCTATAAAAACTACTTCTCCCGGTCACTCAGGGTCGAACTCTTCCCCTGTGTGGGGTATGAGTCTCGGCCCCAGTGCACTGGTTCCCGTCTTGTCGTCTTGTCATTAAACTTCGCGTGATTGCAGCAAGGACGGTCTCTCGTGAGTTACTGGAGGGGTCGCGTCATCCCGAGGCTTGAGTGAGAGTTTCCCCAAATCGGGGGTCTTTCAATATCACTTAATAATAACTACATTCTGTGATGTTTTGATCTAATAGTAAACTTAGAGCAACAATTAAATACATGTTAAGTAAAGCAACGTGCCTTTTATGATAGTGAAGGGTCATACAAAGAGTAGACAATAACTAAAATGTACTGCAACTATCTACAGAGGAAAAAAATCTACCTTGGCCAAAACATAGCTGTAAAACTCAAAAGCAAGCAGAAGAGAGGGATTAGTGGCTGTGCCGGTGTCCATGCAGAAAGCCTGGCTTGAGGGCTAAAGTTTAGGGTGGCTTAGACTAGAGGTCCTGTCAAAGATTGGAACCACTGATTTAGAGGTCAGTGTGCATGAGGCAGTTTAAAAGCGCAGGCGTCCTGTCCACACTGCAAAAGCGGCAAAGGAATTTGAGAAGGGGGTTGTCAAAGCTCACAGCTCTGCTCTTCCTTTAAATTGCTAGAAACTAGATCAAGATGCTTCAGCTGCATTTTTTTTTTTTTGACAATCAACAGGTATTCTTTTTAGATGCCTTGAGAAAGTTCACTTAAGCAAACAAGTCCGTGGGGGGGGGGGGAGGCGGCAGGAGGTGGCGCAAAACAGGTAAAAAGGAGTGTCACTGGGAGGAAGTAAACCTCCTGGCCTACTTGATGATGCCATTGTTAAAGAAATGAAATCCATTCATAGCCATTCAGATGGTTTGGGGTTGTGGCAAGTACTGTATCTGCGGGACTGAGGTACTGGAGACACCTCTTTCAAGCACAGCTTCTGGAGAGAACAGAGTAGGCCTCCTCGGGACAGAATTTTGCCTAGTGAGTAGCTTTTGTTATTTTTAGATGATAACGTTGGTAATGCTCCCTATCCCTATAAATGTAAATAGGCACAGAGAATTGCTTGTGTGGGTCTACATACAGCAAGAACTGTAACAGATTCACATCCACCAACAAGACCAGTCTCCCCATTCCACTGTGAAATGCACTGCATACAGATTGTGGATGACAGCAGCCAAGTGACTACAGCTTGATTATTTTTCCCCTTAAATCTCGGTTCTCAAACTGTGGGTCATGACCACATTGGTGGGGGGGAGGGGGGCAGGGATGGCCACATATCAGATATCCCGAATATCAGATATTTACATTATGATGTATAGCCAATAGAAAAACTACAGTTATAAAGTAGTAATAGAAATAAATTTATAGTTGGGGTCACCACAGCATGAGGAACTGTATTAAAGGATCACAGCATTAGGAAGATTGAGAACCTCTGCCTTAAATCATAACACTTGTGTAGCTGGGTAAAGCCTATTGCTTTGTTATTATTTAGACCATACAAACCACAACTTTCCACATTGCGAGTTGCCATGCTGGTATTTTGTCTGCCTTTATGGGATGTCTAAGATGCTAAATCTCTGGGCAGTTTCCTGAGGGCCACACCTGCCAGTAACATTTTTCAGTACTACTGGACCCCAGAGAAATATGATAATTACCTGTTTATAGCAGACCTGGCCTAAGACATATTCATCAACCTAACTCATTTTGAAAAAATTATAATAATAATAGCCTGAAATGTGTGTGTATGTGTGTGTGCACGTATGCACGTTCACAGGAACATCTGTGTGCAGGTCAAATGATGAATTGGGCTATTGTTCTTCAGATTCCAACTACCTGTTTTTGATTGATTGATTGATTGATTGATTAATTGGAGACAATCTCTCTCACTGGCCTGGAGCCCACCAATTAGGCTAGAACAGTGGTTCTCGCCCTTCCTAATGCTGCGACCCTTTAATACAGCTCCTCACAATGTGGTGACCTCCAACCAGAAAATTATTTTCACTGCTTATTCAAAACTGTAATTTTGGTACTGTTATGAATCACAATGTAAATGTTGAAGACAGAGGTCTGCCAAGGGGGTTCACTGGGCTAGACAGCCGGGCGACTGTGCCCCAGGATCAATGCAGCCCTACTGCTAGCGCTAGGATTACAGATGCGCGGAACCGCACTCAGCTCTGGCTATGTGGGTTCTGAGTATTGAACTCAAGGCCTTGTGATCTCAAAGCAAGTACTTTCCTGACTAAACCATCTCTCTGGCCATAAAGTCTAGAATCTTCATTTTATCTAAAAAGAACCTACTTGACTCCTAGACTTTTCCATAGCTGGACTAAATTCTATAATATCAGTAGATCATAAATTTTATATGTGTGTGTGTGTGAAAATACATACATTTTTGTATATGTATGTGTGTTATATATTTATTATACATATATAAAATGTTGTGTGTTATGTGTGTATACGCATATATATACATACACATTTTTGTGTGTGTGCATGTATATTTGCATATGGTGTATACATATATTATATACACAGAAAAGGTCTGAGGGAGAAATGTAGTTAAGACATAATCTTAAAATAAACCAAAATATTAGGCTTATTTTTGTGTCAAGAAAGTGCTCTCAAATTCAAAGCATATTAACATATGGCCAATTAATATTTTGAGCAGAATAAACTAAATTTTCACAAATTCAATGATTCAAAAAAATTTTCCTCAGAAAACATACCTAACACAAGTAAATTGTTTATAAAATACTAAGGGCTCAATTTAGATATTAATGAGTATTTCTCCTAGTCCAAATTCACTGCTGTACCTCTTTATTCAATTACAGCTGTAAAATCTTGGGAGGATAAATACCTTAATGACTTATCAAATAAAGGAAACTGCTGGTGGCTTACAGCATCGGATTTCCTTGTGCTGCTCCTTATGTGGCGAGGGCTAGCCGCATAACCTTGCTGCAGGAGGGCTTTCCTATCCAAAGTCAGAAGGTCATCCGCGCGGGCTTCTTCCCCCTGATCACACTACACAAGGAAGGCAAAAAACAAACCATCAGGCACATATTCACGAAAAGGCTGTTGGAGAGTTCAGAGTACCAGCCAGTCTTGGGGTGCAGATCTTCCATGTGTTCAGCTGGATGACCTTTCTGAGCCTCATTTTAGTCATAAACTAGGATAACTGTCAATACTATATCAAAAAATGATAAATGCCTATATATACCTGATATACAGTAGACATTAAGTAAAAGACAGAAATGACCATAACCAATAAAGCAGCTAGTCAAGAACCTGCCAGGCTTTAATAGTTTCTCCTCTGGGATTTCTCCTCATTGTCCATCTTCCTTAGAAGGTCACACATTTAAAAGTATAGGAACCAAGTTTTCTGTATGAAAGATACTGACAGCAGGGCTTTGGGTTTGTCTTGAAAATTAACTTAGTGGCTACACATAAAATACTTTAAATAGCCCTAGCTTATTAAAATAAACGTTCAGCATTAAACTTTCTAAATTGACAGCAGAAAGGATATTTCTAAGACACGGGCATTGTTCGCTTTAAGTTTCATGCGTGCTTTACAAGTTTCTCACGTTACCTTCTCATTCATCTTGTTTCCTGCCGGGTCTGGCCCGCTGGTAGCTTTCGCCTTGTCTGCGGTTCTCCGAATGTGCTGTTTGTAACCCTCCTTCATTTCAGCCGCATATTGCTCATATTTCTGCCTGTACTTGCCTGTGGGTGCTGGCAAATCCTCTGGGATGATGTCCTGTTCCTAGAGGTAACACATAAGGTATGCTGTGCACCAGAAAGCTATGTGTCATAGTATTTTTATTGGGTCTTTGGGAATCTCATTTCAGGAACTGACCACACTCACTTCCCAGTCCTCCCAGGTCCTCCCCACAAGCCTCGTGACACACCCTCCTCCGACCCCGGAAAAAAAAAAAAAAGTACAATTTGTGCTGTCCATATATTCATCACTGGAGCATGGTCAAACTCCCAGCGACCAGCCCCCTGAAGAAAACGGAGTCCTTCCGCGCCTGCACCCCTGCCGGAAGCCATCAACCGTGGAGAGCTACACTTCAGCATCCTTCTCACAGAGCTATCTTTGATGGCCAGAAAATGGTATTTTGACTTTTTGTTTCTTTGGGGGTTTTGTTTATTTGGTTCGTTGGTTAGTTGGTTGGTTGGTTGGGGTTTTTTTGTTTGTTGTTTGTTTTCCAGACAGGCTTTCTCTGTACAGACCTGACTGTTCTAGAATTCATGATGTAGATGAAGCTGGCCTCGAACTCACAGAGATCCACCTGCCTCTGTCTCCCAAGTGCTGGGATTAAAAGTGGGCACCAGGACCACAGTCTAGAAAAGTTTTGTTTTTTTTTAAGTAGTATTTTTCTTGTTGACATTGCCAGGCTTACCATTTACTTTAGCCCTTAGCTCTAAAGACTACTGTAGTCTGTGTTCCAAACAGAAGGGACAATAAGATACCCAGCTCACAGAGCACTGACCACAAGGGACCTGACCAGAATGGGCGCGTGGCCTCAGGAATCTTATACTCTCTGCTCGGCTGAATGTCTGCTTCAACAGTGACTTGAAAGAATTAACGTCAAGGTATTTTTCTTAGATATTTTATGTAGGTCTGTGATTTTCTGATCAAAGCAGTCCTAGGAATTAGAGATTAACAACACTAATAAAAAGCACTGCTTGCCATTTCCAGAGTATCAGCGTATTTCACTTTCTAGTATTTTGTGGTTGCTTGTCAAATTTTCATGGTAGCAAGAGATAATAGTCAGTGGGCATTTGTTCTGACGTAGATGGGCAAAGATACTGATATATTATATGTGTATGTGTGTGTGTGCGTGTGTGTATGTACATCTATGTTGTGTGTTGGGCATATATATGTATGTCCAACTCTTGGTGAGTTTTGGAGGCAGTCCAAGTATAACACAAAAGATGACTGAGGCCAAATTTAGAGCAATAGCCACTGTAACATACAGACTAAAGGCATACTGACCACTTCGTTCAGATGATACTGTGTATTTGGTCTTTGACATGGCGTAATCCAAGCCAGAGTCGAAGGTGACTGTGGCAGCTTGAGATGAGCATGCATTGTACCACACGGTGCTTGTGAAAAATTATCCTGAAAAATAAAATGGAATGATAGTACGTGCTCATAGGTGCTACTGTTGTCGAATATTTATTATATCAAATAAAAAGTTAAAATTACCTCCTCATCAGAGTCAACAAGGCTTCCCAAATCAAGTGGCGGGACCCTAAAAGAAATAATCTATACAGCTCATAAACTTTTAAGTGAGTCTGTAATGACAGAAAAATCATTTTCAAATACATTATCTATATGCAAAGTCACAATTAAGGTAATGGTGGGTTGTCTACCACTGCATAGCAGGAAGGGTTGTAGATTTGGATAAATGTTTAGTAACTTCTCAAATTGATTATGAAATACAGTCATTATTTATAAAATAATAAATGAAATATAATAATAAAAGTATACAAATGTATACTTAAATAAATTATACTTGGATCAAGGGTGGTGCTAAGGAGGTGCCTCAGTGACCGAGGCATTTTCCAGGCAGGACAGTAGTTCAGCTGCCCTGAACCCACATAAAATCTAGGCAGGTGTGGCAGCTGCTTATCATCAACACTCAGGAGGATGAGAAGGGCTCCCCAAAGTATGAAGCACAGTGCACACCACAAACATGTACAGACACATAAGAACAAAGGCAATAAGTCCTCAAAATCCATTGTCCTAATGGTTTTCCTGCTCTGCTACTGTAATGCCCTAGGGTATCTCGTGTGCTGCTGAGGTGGAGCATGGAACAGGTTAATAAGATCTGTATCTGTGGGGGCTGGAGAGATGGCTCAGAGGTTAAGAGCATTGCCTGCTCTTCCAAAGGTCCTGAGTTCAATTCCCAGCAACCACATGGTGGCTCACAACCATCTGTAATGGGGTCTGGTGTCCTCTTCTGGCCTGCAGGCATACACACAGACAGAACATGTATACATAATAAATAAATAAATATTTAAAAAAAATATCTGTATCTGTGTCATGGTATAACTGCACATGTCCCTTTCCAAAAATGCTAAATTGAAGTCAGCCAGCACTTGATTATTTGCATGACAATCAGCAAATACTAGAGTCAAGATTTGATTTACTATTTTGTTGACTAAAAGTGGAGGCAGAAAATATTAGTAGTTCAAATAGAATGAAATACACCACATATATAGCTGTCAAGTACTGGGTTTCTGTCTTAATTAGGGTTTCTGTTGCTGTGACAAAACACCATGGCCAAAAAGCAAGCTGGGGAGGAAAGGGTTTATTCAGCTTACACTTCAGCATTGCTGTTCATCACTGAAGGAAGTAAAAACAGGAACTCAAATAGGACAGAATCCTGGAGGCAGGAGGTAATGCAGAGGCCATGGAGGGGTGCTGCTTACTGGTTTGCTTCCCATGGCTTGCTCAACTCACATTCTTATAGAAGCCATGATGGGAAGCCCAGGGATGGCACCATCCACTATAGGCTGGTCCTCCCCCTCTGATCACTAATTGAGAAAATGTCTTACAGCTGAATCTCATGGAGGCATTTTCTCATCTGAGGCTCCTTCCTCTCTGATGACTCTAGCTTGTGTTAAGTTGACACACAAAACCAGCCAGTACAGTGGCACAAGAGAATGTTCAGCAATATTATTTTAAGCACTCAAAATTGGTTTCACCAAGCAACCACTCATAATATTTTATAACAAATAAAAATATCACCCAACATTTACACTGAAACTGGCTCATCACTACAGCCATAGGCTGGTTATAGCTATTCAGAGAAAAACAAACAAAGCATTCTGTGGGTACGAATTGCCTAAATGGATTTTATAATAGTTTACATATTTTATGAGTTGTGAAAATTTCTTGCTATATATAATTTATGTAACAACAGCGATGACCAACAGCATGCATTTAGTTTTTATAATAAGCGAATAAAATGTATAGTAAATATTTAATAAATTTTCACATCCACTATAAACTGTAGATTAGTACACAACTGGAAGACCACCTGCTACAGCGTCTCTGACATGACCCTTTCTACATTATCTATATTGTGTATTCAGTACATAAGCATAGCTTTTTAACTTAAATGCAACTTGAGTTTCATATCCAGCTGAAGATAAAGGTATCTACCATGTAGAAACAGCTGAAACTATTGACCTTGCTTATTTTTAGTCTACAAAAAGTATTACTATGGTGTAATTCAACCTAGCAAGTTACATGCCATGTAATCTAAACTAGATAAAAAATAATTTTACTTTTCAAATGTCTGAAACTATAATATATATATATGACATATTCTAAAAAAAGAAAACTTTACTAATATCAATTACATTCTCATATTCGTCAACATGACAATTTAAAATACAGATATAGCTACTATTAGGTAACTTTTGCTATGCCAATAACAAAATGAAAAATTGTCATACATTCTTTAGAGTAAGTATACTTACCCTGATGTCTACATGCATCGAAATACCCTATAGAATTCCTAAATTCATACAGTTTTATGATGTTATGTGTCATTTTAAACGAAACTTGAATCTTAAAATGACAAAAGGAAATTGTAAGAAAGAATTCCGTTTTGCAGAAAATTGTGAGAACAGCATTAAATAAGAATTAAATAAGAACAACTGAATATTGTCCACATCCCTACTGTCCTATTAAAAGAGGTTGTTTTTTAAAAAAAAAAAAATCTGAAATGGTAATATTCAGGCTTTCTCTATGCAGACTTTTCTGCAGTTCACAATAAAATCTATGCATATGTAGTTTTTAACTACTCAGAGTATCATAAATATATGCCGGTTCAGCAATAGAAATGGAAAGAAATGCAGCTCACACAGGTAGGCAGGGATTCTGGATTGCCCATGATCTGGAAGTCCATCCTTGCTTTAATTAAAGAGAGAGAGAGAGAGAGAATCAGTGTGCATTATACCTTAAAAGATAAACCATGACTGGATGCATGAAAGACAATTACATTTTTTTCCCTGTAAATGCCATAGAAAATGTGCCTCCCAAGACTCCCCTCGTTGTAATTAAGACATGGAGGAAATCAAGACTAAGACAATGACCACCTTCCCAGCACTGTCAGTTTGAGATGATGGGGCCTCAAACAATGACAAGACAATTGCAGGCAGGAAGACTGTGACAGCCAGAGGACTGGGATGGCTCCTGTTAGGTATATACATGACAGGGAAGCTGTACCCATGAGGCCTCAATGGTGAGGTTGTTTAAACAAGACCTGAAAAACAACATCACCAGTTGGCAGGATGTTGTGACTGGAGGAGAGCTTTCAAGCCCCTACTCCTTGAAAGAGCTACAGGCAATTAATGGCTGTTGAGAGAGAGAGTGATCCCTCTTCTCCAGGGAAAAGCCCCTGGTGATTTAACCAATCACAAGTAGTCAGCCCTAAGTACATATACATATGAACAACGCTAAAGGGACTCGGCGGGTTATATTTATAAATTATATATATACATATTATAATAAAGAGTAAGAGGTCATGTAGGAGGAAGTGTGGAGAGCAGGGAAGGAAATGGAAGGAATTGAAGGAGTAGGAAACGATGTAATTATAGTATTCATAAATGAAATTATCAATAAACAAACAGAAATACCAGAGGGAGAAATTGCATTTAGTTGCTCCATAAAACACAGACAGCAGTGTCTTGAGAGTTGAGATGGAGGTTCCTTGCAAGACATATCTGGATGCCCTTTCTAAACAACTAACAAAAAAGCATAAGATTTGCTCTGCAAACACTTTTATTTGGATGTAAATACAAAAATAGCAAGTTGGTGACGGCTGCATGAGCCACAGCTCTGTGGCTTGACTCTGTAGCCACCACCGGTGTCATTAACGTCATTAATGTCTTTGCCTTTTTGCCCTTCAGAGTCCTGAACACAGAGAGTGGAGGTGTCAGTCTCATTGAAGCCTTTGTTTTTAGCCTACGGTTCACTGTCTTCTCTGTTTTAGGGAGTCATGGTTTTCCTTTAAATATCTTTCCTAGTTGAATTCAATACTGTTGGAATATGAATCCCATCTATAGGACGAGAGGTTCCTTAGCTAAGTCTTCATTTCATCGATTGTTGGACCTTTAGTACCCAGGACTATGCTAAGTGGGTTATGAGCACAAAATAAATAAGACTCAAGGGATTCAGTCACTGAAATTCCATCTTAAACAGAGTACAAGGTAGAGAAAGTTTAGTTTATGATCTTTTAGATCTTTTTTATATATGTAACACTATATCTTTTGTGAATACTAATACTTTCAGAGCATTTAATATATAAAATGATTATAGGATGTGTAATTAAGTATGCAGTTTAAAATGATGTACCAATTAACCATAAATCCACTAGCAAGCAATAGGGGCAACACTGTAAAGAAAATGATACTTTCTCCTTCCTTTATATTTTCTCCTTTCTCTTACATTTTCTGCTAATATGTAGGGATTTTTTTTAAATAGCAATGATAAAACAATAATCTTAAAATTAAAAAACTTAAAGCGAAATCAGTCCATTTTAAAACAATAATTATCTTCAAATTTGGTGGCCCCAGGTTTCCTAATCTAGGAAACGCTGAGCCTAAATATTTGTGAGTGAAAAGATTCGTGAAAACAGGAGGGAAAGACGGTGGAAGCACTTGAAGGGATCGTTCTATGAGAGGAAAATCCTGGGGCTTACATACTTGTAGTGAATTCTTTCGTTGAGAAAACAGGCGAGGTTGGTTCCTAGACGCAGCCACTCCTTTGACCTCTAAGTCCATTCAAATGTCTGTGTTTCTCATGCAATGTGCTGCTCTTTTTAAGAGATAAGATAAATGCAAAAGAGTCACTCTTATTCGAATTTTAAATAATCCATACACAGTACATGTCCATACAGAGAAGCCGTTGTGTTTAATGGCCATGGCTAATAAAGAATTATTTTGGACTTTATAAACTGAAATCAAGTTTTGGGGATGCAAATACATCATGCTTCATGGAAGCCGGCATGACATGACGTATGCCCAAAGAATTCCTTCTCCTAATCTCTATGCTCCATGACAATGTCCCTTTTATGGCAAAGGGGATATATCAGGTGGGATGAAATTAAAATTTTCAATAGGAAAGTTAATCTGTTGGGCTCACTGGATCCACACAGGTCCTTAGAAGAGGGGTACCGGAGATTCTGGGTGAGGCTGAGAAGGGGGGACAATGGAGTCGCAAGCTTTAGAAGAACACAGATGCTATACAACTGCCACCAAAGATGGAAAAGACAATGAGCACGTTCTAGAATGTACAAGAGACAAGGAACGACGCTTCCCCTGGGACTTCCAAAAGGAACCGGTCCTGCTGGTAGCTAGTTTTAAGCCATTCTAGACAAAATTTGTGCACTGATCTCCAAGATTATAATACAATAAATATATATTTCTTAAAGCCACTCAGTCTGTTGTACAGTTTTAGAGCAAACTTGGAAAATAAATGATCTGCCTGTCTTCTCTATCAAACAAGTTTATGCTTCTGTATACTCATTTCTCAAGCCGTTATGGATTTTGATACTGTCAGGGTAGACTAATGAAAGTATTTCTACCAAACAGAATGATCAGTAAGTATGCAATGATGTAAAAGAACATATTGAGTAAATATACTCAGCTTGTCAATGGGTACAAAATAAAAATCAAATGACTCTATCTGTCCTCGAAATTTTCATCATGACCAGAATAATTGGCATCAAATTGTGTTGTGCTTAAATATGCCTCGAATAAGTCACTCAGGGTCCACCTCCTGAAGTTTGCACCAACCCTGGCTGCAAGGTCACTTTGAGCAGAACTGCCTTCTTTTCTCCTGCAGCTGGTCACTCCCATGCCCTTGAAGGTCACAGAGATCCACACACACATACATAATGTTCTTTTTCACTTTCTTTTCTTATGCCATCCTGGAGGTTATTTTCAGGTTTTGTTTGTTTGTTTGTTTTTAAAGACAGGACGGCAGCGTCCACTTCAGCTAGATAAAATTATAGCACAGTTTTGACTTTTGCTGAACTCCCGTGACTGAAGCTGGAGAATGGGTTTAATCTCTTTCAGTCAGGGTTCATGTTGCGTAAAATAAGTTGACTGTTATCGCCTTCCTTATCCTGGTAGAATGAGGGAAGGTTCAGTAGACAGCAACTCTCGCTGTTATTTCACGCCCAGTGGAATCGAACCCCAATTCTTTTGTGCCTTATCTTTTGTGTTTCCCCCACCCCACTCCAGATCCTTCTCCTCAAAAAAAAATCACTCACCTCAGGCCAGGAATCCTACTCTAAGAGTAAACTGCCGTCCAGAAACAGTACAAATCATCAGATTTGAAAATAATCCTGAAGACACTTCGAATGGTTCTCTTTTCAGGACCCTTTCAAAAGAAGCAACTTTGGATGCTCTAACGCTCTAAGCCAAGCTCCTTTCTTTGGTCATATTACAAAAGTGACTACATTTGTCGGGTAGGTTTGTAGCCCACTGGTTCCGGCACTTGTCTAACACCTCCAAGGCCATGGGTTCAATTCCAGAACAAGTTACTGCATTCCCCATGATAGCCAGCAACTGAAAAGCTGCGGTGGTTTTAATAAGAACTCCTCTCATAGGCTTGCATATTTGAATATTCGGTCCCCAGTTGGTGAACTGTTTAGGAAGAATTAGGAGGTGGACTTGGTAGAGGAGGTATGCCTCTAGGCTGGGCTTTGAAGTTTCAAAAGCCCACACCAGGATGAGCCTGATATAATCTCTCAGCTACTGCTCCAGGGTCACGTCTGCTTGTCTGCTGCCATGCTCCCTGCCACGACGTAACTCACCCTCGGAAACTGCAAGCAAGTCTCAATTAAGTGCTTTCTTTTGTAAGTTGTCTCAGTCACGGCAATAGATCAGTAACTCATAGGTAAGCCAAAGTTAAGATGGAGATGCTGAGCAGCCAATGCATGACTCTCTCTGACACATTGCCAGCCTCCCAACTTCATACCTTAGCAACCATGGTCACTATTCCAAATAACCGTATGACGTTTTAAACCACTAGACTTGGTTTGCAGTTAATAACAAGAGCAAATAAAAAATCGAGACTGCCCTGTTCCTACTGTTCACTGGGCTTCTCCAGTGAGTTTTTAGTGTGGTATCACAACCACAAAGGCTGGTAGTTACTGCCCTTCATATAACATAAATTCTTTAATGAATACTTTTTGAGTCAATAGATAAGTTAATGCATCATAAATGTCCATATCCACTTGGAATATACCCATGTTAAATTCATTTCTCTATATCTAGCGACAACTATCACAATACCAACACACAAGTCTTTCAGGACACAATCCAGTAAGGTGTTTCCAGCACCGAATAGTACAAAGTACTCTTCAGTAAAACTGATTTGAAGCTTATAAAATCGATAACTCCAGAAGATGCCCACTTTATGTCTCAAGACTTAGGGGAAAGTCTAGAAAAGAAGCAAATTCAGTCAATTAGGCTAGAGCTAACTCAGAATGACACCGCATAGAAGTGATTCATTCACAAAAGTGATCCGTCCAAATGCAAGTAAGAGTGTTCAAAGGGAAATGTTGCTATAAGGGGCACACTGGAGTCTGGAGGATTAGCATCTGCCTACTAGCACCCCAATTAGAGAATCAAACAATTTGGACAGAGCTTCAAAAGCTAAAATCGCCCAAGCTTCTGAGTTTTACACTGAGCAAGCTGAGACCCAGAAAGGCACATGTCACTTGGCTTAATCCCATCTAATCTAATTCATACACAAGGAAGAGGGGAAATATTAATAAATACAGTTTAGTACTTAAATTCCATGAGGGACACAGACCCCACCTTGAATCCGTGGTGACAACCCACCCAAGATGTGAGATTGAACACAAAGTTGTTCCTAATTCAATTAAAATCTTCCTTCACAATACCTGGGGTGTGCCAAAAAGGAATCCACCTTCCACCTCATCCAGGACTCAAGGGGACACGGAACAAGCCAAGTTGATGCGACCTAACAATGTTAGCTCTGTAAAGCCCCAATCCGGAATAGAAGGGCTGGAAGGAGTATAAACCAGGGTGATTCCACCAGAACTTCCTTCTGGGAGCTTCCCGTGGGCGGCCCAAGCAGCCAGCAAACAGGGCCAGCGTCTCAGGTTGCTAGGCAACTGGCGCTGGTTTACTAAGCTTCCTCTTTGCCCTTTTCAACTTCCCAGTAATAAAAGAAGCCTCAAAGCTTCTTAGTTTCTGCCTGGCCGCCTCATGCTGTGCCTCCCTTCCTTTCACCCTGCCACTTCCACCCCCCTGCACTCTCAGGCAAACTCACCCCGAAGTCTTAAGAATTTCTGCTTTACCACACTACCTTCCAGGTCTGAGACCCCAGCTCTGCCCTAAACCCTGGACTGGAGTAAGAACACAGGAGGGGACTCATTCAAGCAAGCATCTCCTGCATCAGGAGAGCGCCAAAACCCGGCAAGGATCACGACCCTTGGTGGATTATTCATTCAATGCAATTCCCTTGAACACTGTTTCACAGATGCCCAGTGTCCAGGTTAATATTTGGGGAGAAAACAACATAAAAGCATCCTGAATCCCAGCCTACCACCAACTTTCTAACCCAAATCTTAGCTATTTCTGCACCATGTTTGGGCTGCAGCTACCTGACCATAAAGAAACGAGGTTAGCTGACATATTGATAAAATTCTACTCTGATAGCAGTTGGTGGTATCGTCACCAAATGCAATATCAGAGCTGCAAATCTTATGAGGCTTCAAATTTTTTCATTTTGTTTGGCTTTTGCTGACTGCGATAGCTTTTAAAAGCTAGCTTTCTTCCAAACATAGGTGTCTAAATATGCACATTAAAAACAACTTCAAGTTCCAAACGAGGAGCAAAAGGAGGAAGAAAATGACGAAGGACTGCGAGGGATACTATCACCCACTGATACAAGGGGTCGGATCTAATGAGAGTTTACCAAGGCCAGATGGACCGTGACTGAAAGAGCATGTGATCCAACCAGATTCTCTGAATGTGGTTGGATTTTCTGAATGTGGCTGGCCTGCAGTCTTTCCGAGAAGCCATTGACAATGACACTGGGACTTGTTTCCTCTGCATATACTGGATTTTTGGGATCCAGTCTGTTTGGATGCTCACCTTCCTGGACCTGGAGTGAGGGGGGAGGAACTTGGACTTCCCACAGGGCAGGAGACCCTGACTTCCCTTGGGGACAAAGAGGGAGGAGGAGAGGGAGGGGGGGAGTGGGAGGGCGTTGGGAGGAGGGGCGTAAATGGAAACTTTTTATAATTTAATAAAATTACTAAAAGAAAAAAAAAAAAAAACTTCAGATTAGAACTTCAAATCTATTTTGAAGGCCCAGAACTCTACTCACTGGTGCGATGCAGCCAGCCCGGCATGAATAAGGAGAGTTTTGATCCCCAACACTTGAAAAACCGAAAGGGACAGTTAATCATAGCACTCCGGAAGTGGTGGCAGAAGGCTCCCAAGTCTAAGATCAGTTTCAGCTACATAGTGAGTTGAAGAATAACAGCGTGAGCTACATGAGACCAAAGCAAAAGCAAACACAAAACTTAGAAGGATCCCTCGGTCTCACTACCATTCCCCACTGCTGGGGTGGCAGGCACACATGGATGCAATCTTACCCCCGGGCCATCTCCAGCACCTAGAAAATTTTCATTTGAAGCTCATGTGTTGCTTTCAGTATTTATTTTCATAGCCACTCAGTCTTTCATGTATTGATCATACAGCAGACACACACAATCTGCTAACGTGCGAAGATTAGAAAAGGTAAGATATATGAGCCTATGGATCATTGCCTTATATCACTGACCTAGTCAGGGATGTTTGTTAGGCCCTTTGTGCATGCAAAAGATGAATACGATACAATTTCTGTGTCCAGAAGGTAAAACTCATACAACCTAATAGTAGCATGCTTGTTTCTTTATCCTGTCAACAAACTTTTACTGAGGGCTCAAAGGACCTGTTTGGGGTACTAAAGAAAAATCAGTGGAGAAAGTAAAGCCACTGTTTAAGGATTAGCAGGTGCTGCAGAAATGAACACACTTTCAATAAGCAATTGTTTCAGTGAAGAAATATGGGTGCCCTCACGTAGGAACTGAAGAAAGATCAGGGCGGACATGAGAAAGCAAAGAGGAAGAATCCTTGTCAAACTGAGAGATGTCACCGAGCCAAAAGTGTCTACACAAATGGGTCCAGTGTACCTCCATCATTGGGTTATATAAAGGTGGAGGCATGTAGGCATATACACAAGTATGCACGTGGACCAACAGTCTGTCTTAGTCCATGAGAACACACATTCCTATGTTTGTACCGAAGTGTGGGATGTGTGAAGCCCAGCTCGCCCATGTGTGTGGCACCACAGCAGTGCACATAGCGAGCCCTCATCAGCAGACAATAAATCAGAAACACGTCCTCTCTTGCTCCATAGATATCCTGTTAGGATCTTCGGATTTGTTGTTGTTGTGTTTGTTTGTTTCTGTTTTCATCTCATAACTTAATTTCTGCTTTCTGCTAAAAATAAATGGTGACTGGTACTGTAGAAATAACTTTTTAGTCATTTGTTTTGCTGGTGAGGTTAACTGACTGGGACAGAACAGTCGGTGAGCGTAAATGTGTATTTGTTTCAATTAAGTGGCCCTGGAAATAACCTAAATACTAAGTTAAACAACCTGAGTAGTAGAGATATGTACCTAGAAATACTGGGAAAAAAATATGATTAGATGTTACAGAAAGCTTCTGGTCTATTAGTGAACAACAGCAACTGACAAATAGATTTAAATCATTAAGCCAAAGCGAGTGGACTTCTGCTTGATTTCCAGGGAAGGGAGCAAGCACTGGATTCAGCGCCCTCGTCTTCAGAATACAGATAATCTAGAATCTGCCAGCATCCATCCAATAGGTAAGTTCTAAATTATCAGAAGGTAAGAATTTTGCCAGAAGAAAATCTTTGGCTGTGATTTTCCACAAGCCTATAGAATTTTCGTCTTTCCAGATGATCACTCAGAAGGAAATAGAGGCAAAATCCTAAATGTTTAACAAGGTAATAACTGAAGGCTAAGGGATGCCACGGGGTCCGCCAGTTGCCAAGTCCGTGTTCCCAGAGTCTGAAGAAAGGGACAAAATAATATGCACTTTACTTTAAAAGAATAAATAAGCTAAGCATTAAAAATAGACTCTAAAAAACTCGTAAATTATTTGCTCTTATGCCCCCAGCCTGACAGGATCTCAGCTCTTCACTAGCCTGGAATCGATGTGTGGATCAGGCTGGCCTCAGACACTCTTACAGAGACCTCCCTGCTCCTTCCCTGCCTCCTGAGTGCAGTGATGAAACCCTCTACTCCAGCCATCTGCTCCAATATGTGCAGGAAAGTCCCTAGAGTTGGTTTGCATGGGCCTGAGCCATCTTCAGCACCCTGTAACATCCTCTTTCACAATCCAGACACTCTCTTCTGTGAGGAGATTAGCTCTTCAGAAAGCAAGTTGGTTGCTTAGAACTGTGCAGCAGAGGGCGCTTCAGGCTTTCCCTGAGAGTGTGAGACTTACTGGCTCAGAACTCCCTGGGCATCGGTCTCCATGGTAACGCTGAAGCCAGGGAAGCAGTCTGCTGTTCACTCCACAGCAGGCCAGCCTAATCAGAAGGCAGAGCCAGGGTAGAGTTTGATCCCTGTTCAGGCATATTCACCAGGGCTATACCCTATATCCTTCCATGGCCCTGACGAAGAAACTTAAGTGTTTCTGGACACTAGGCCTATGTTTGGTAGCCAGCAAACTTTCCAAGACACTGGCCAAAGTTCCCAAACTGCCAACTATCTATGACCCGGGATTTATACAAGAATGTATCGACAGCCATAATGAAATGCGAGACAAGGTGAAGCCCTCGGCAGCCAATATGCATTACCTGGTGAGTTGGGGACCGAGGTGCCGTCCAGAAGGATGAGTTTAAGCAGAAGAGGGCTCTTAAATCAACCGTTTGTTCTTTTTTGTCTTTCAACTGCATCTCATATGATTCTGCAATTAATTAAAATAGGCACAGCGTTGCTGTCCCAGAGCCAAGCAGGCATTCTGTGTTTAATAAGTCATGGCCGTGTAGGAGCAACATAGAAGCAAAGATAAGGGACTTTAAAGAGCCTCAAGGACCACTGCGATGTGGTCTAATTTCATTGTCGATTTTAACTAAGACGGACATCAGTTGAAGAGCTTTCTTAGATCAAGAGACCGTGAAAAGGGGTTATAGAGAGGGATTGTTGATAGGAGTAATGCAGATATGAGAACAAAGACGGCAGAGGTGGCCCCTGTCACTCGAGCTAGCCAGAAGACGGTGACGGGTACGAGGGAAGCATACGGTAATGCCTGGTATCTTAATTTGTTTTTTTATTACCAAATCACCAAAAGCAACTTAGGGAGGAATGTATTTATTTGACCCTACACCTCAAAGCCCTTCATGAGGGGACTTCAGGGCAGGGACTCAAGGCAGAAACTTAAGCAGTAATTATAAAGGAATGCTGCTCTCTGGTTTTCTCCCTATGGTGTGTTCGGCTTTCTTCCTTTTTTTTTTTATTTTGTTTTTTTTTTAATTTTACATATCAATTCCAGTTCTAATTCCCTCCCCTCATCCCGCTACCCCCCATTCCCGACACCCACTCCACCCCAGTGTCTGCTCCTCAGAGAGGGTATAGTCTCCCATGGGGAGTCAAAGAAGTCTGTACCACACTGCTTTGAGGCAGGATCAAGGCCCTCCTCCCTCTGTTCAGGATGAGTGAGCTTCAGCTTGTTTCCTTTCTCACATGGCCCAGGATCATTTGCCCAAGGCTGGCACTGTCCCCAGAAGCCTGGGTCCTCTTCCATCAATCGTTAACCCAGAAAATCTCCTACAGACTTGCTACAAGCACTCAGAGGAATGCATTTCATCATTAAGGTTCCTCTGTTTGCCGAGCACTAGCTTGTAGCAAGTTAACACAAACAAGCAAACAACAACAACAACAAAACTAACCAGGACATCTAGGTAGAAAAGCAAGTGGTTATTAATGATAGAAAAATAAAGAAGTTGAAGCAGGAGGCAGGGGAAAAAATAGGAAAAAACAAAAAAAAAACAAAAAAACAACAAACCCAGAAAACTATTGCAAAGAGAAGTTGAGTTGAGGCCTTTGATGTCAGAGCAGAGTGATAACCTGTTCTGTTTTCCCAGGATAGCTTACAGTCTGGAGGGCCATTGCTAGTGTTTACAGAAACTGGGACTGGGGAGGGCTGCTGGGACTTGTTTGGGGCCACTTCCTGTGCCCCTTGTTCCTATTCACCATGAAGATGCTCCTGACATTTAACTCATGACAGGCCGAGAAACATGGTGCCAAGTGACCACCATGTCCTGATCCCTCTGAAATAGTGATTTCAAAATAATTTCTTATTTGAGCTGTTTATTTCAGGTATTTGATTGTAGTTAAAAAAAAAACTACTACAACAAACACTTTTTAAAGAATGCCATTTTCACTAAATAGCTAAAATTAACTGAAATTTTAATGTATTACATTTATCAGAATGATTTCATTGTAAACAAATATGTGTTAATCAATTTAATTGGTTTCTTTTTTTTTTTTTTCAGGATTGGGACAAGGCATTAGCAAAAGTGGCCAAATCGTGGACCAGGAAGTGCAAATTTTCACATAATCCCTGTACTAAAAAACGATATGCCTGCACAAAGCGTTATGACTTTCTTGGAGAAAATATGTATCTGGGTGAAAGAAAGAGTACACCAAAGCAAATTATTTCTCGTTGGTATAATGAAAGTGAGCATTATAATTTTGAGAATAGGACTTGCTCCAAAACTTGTGGCCATTATACACAGGTAGGTACTTAACGGGTTACTAATTCTTGTGTTCATTTTAATTACAAGAAACATTTTTTATCCCTCTCTTCAACTCGAAATGTTGCTTCATATCTTTTTTTTTAAGATTTATTTATCTATTATGTGTCCAGCATTCCTTCCATGGGTGCCTGCATGCCAGAAGGGGGTGCCAGGTCTCATTATAGATGGCTGTGAGTCCAACATGTGGGTGCTGGGAATTGAACTCAGGACCTTAACCTGAATTGAACTCAGTGCTCTTAACCACTGAGCCATCATCTCTCCAGCCCCTTCACATCTTTTTTTTAGGCTTATCTGTTGGGTATAAAACTTTTTTGTATATAAAACATTTTAAGGCTCTTTATATCATGGAAAGATTTTTGTTTTCCTTCAACAGTGGTAGACAGGTTTTGTAGGTACATTAGTTTTAAGTTGGTAGTGATGGTCCTTTAAGACATGGAGTGCACCGCCCCAGGCTCTTCTGGATTTCAACTGTTCTGTTGAAAAAATTAGCTGTTGTTCTAATGGGTTTTTTGTTTATATGTGTCTTGTGGTTTTCTCCAGCTGTGCTCAATACTCTTTCTTTGTTCTGTGTACTTAGTGTCTTAACTACGATATGCCATGGGGAGATTCTTTTCTTGATTTGTCTGTTTGGTAACCTGTGCGTTTTTTATATTTGTATTGGTGTGTCTTTCTCAGTTTGGGGAAGTTTTTATCTATGACTTGTTGAAGAATTTCTCTAGGCCATTGCCGCAAGCTTATCCTCCTTCCTCTATTTTATGAGTCATGAGTCTTTTCATGATGTCCCACATTTCCTGTATGTTCCTTTCCTGTATTCTTTTTTAATTTGTTGTTTTCTCTCCATATCTTGCCTAGAAACTCTGCTTTGTCATTCAGTCCTACTGTCCTATCTTCTGTTTGAGTCATTCGACTTGAGGTTTCTAATTAGGTTTCGAATTTTTCAAACCCATCTTCCTTTCGACTTCAGTTCTCTTCCATGCCTCTCTTTATTGTGTATTTGGTGTTCTGTGGGCTTCTTACAGCTGGATGTGAATTTCCTTCTTCAGTTTAGAAAAGTTTTCTTCTATGACCTTGTTGAAGACCAGTTCCATACCATTGACCTGAGATTGTCAAATTCTGGATTAGTTTAATCATCTCCATCGGGTTTATAGTTGTATCACTTGGGCATTTATGCTCTCTCAATTCATTCTCTTTTGGTTCATTGAGCTGTTTTCTTTGTTTTTTTAAACTCCGTGCATTCTTTGAGAAAGTTTATGGTTTTATTTTTTTATGTTCTGTATCCTGAAGTTCATTCAGGGAATTCTCCAGGGCAAACATTTCCACGTGACTGGTGGATTTGGAAAGAAGGCAGCTATTGCCTTGATCTTTTATACTGCGTGTTTGTGGTGAGACATGAGCATGTGGATCTCTTTTGTTAGTTCTGTGTCTGATGGGGACAAAAGGGGTTGGTGGTCTGCAGGTCATCTGGGACTAAAGGTTAGACATGTCTGAAATGGAATGAAGTCAGTTGTACATAGGGGCTGGCCTGACCTGCAGGAGGTATGCCCTAGTCCAAGCCTCAAGTTTGGGGCTAGATCTGGAGTGGGAAATGGTTCATAGTCAATGAGGATCTGATAGGTAGAGAAATTAGAATATTGTATCAGATGGGCAGGTAGGATGAGAATTCCTGGTGCCTGTCCTGGTCAGACCATGAAAGTGAGGATTCACATAGTAGGGTGGCCAGAAGAGGTCAGACACTAAATGTGGGATGTGGACTGGATTTGCAGAGTCGAAAGGGGGTAGATAGAAGGCATTATCAGGCAGATTCACCCACCTAAAATAAAAAAAAAAAAAAGTACAGGCTGTATCTATTGGGGTTGACTTAATTTTTTCAGTCTTAACACTAAAATTTACATTTTTATAAGTTTGTTTCTTTTAAACTTTTTGTTTTGTTTTGTTTTTTGATAAGGTCTTACTATGTGTAACCACGGCAGGTCTACTCTGTGGACAAAGTTATCCTCAAAATGACAGAAATCCATCTGTCCCTGCTTCTCAAGTGTTCGTATTAAAGGCATGACCACACCCAGCTATTTTAGCATTTTAAATAAAGATACCAAATATATTCAATCTCTTGGTCAGCTTTTAAAGCATGTAAAATCCATCAGTAATTGTTATCTTAGTGTTTTTACTGTGTGCTCATTTAAGTGGATTGATTCTTGCCTTCATTATGACTCATTTCTATATTTCTAATCATGTTTTTATCGATGTCATTATATATAACAAGTAGATGAAAGCTTACTTTGTGATGTATTGAGCTTTATTATTGAGTTAATATAGTGCCACTAAGTTAAGTTACTTAGAATTTGTTAGCTTCTTTGAGTTCTTGCTTTTAAAATATGGCACACAAAAATGAAAGTAGTGACCATTTTAAGGCTAATTGTGCCTTCCCTCATGCTCTTTTGAATATCAATCACGTATGAATTATGAAGTTTCCCGATATGAATAATAATCATCAATTTGAATACAGGGCAAAGCCAGTTCAGGCACCCTCTACTCTATTGGTTAGAGTTTTAGCTTGGGTCATCCTTATAGATTCCTAGGAATTTCTCTAGTGCCAGGTTTCTTGCTAGCCCCACAAAGGCTCCCTTAATCAAGATACCTCTTTCCTTGTTCTCTGTTTCTGTTCTTCCCCCATCTTGGCTATCCCATCCCATTTCCTCTAGCTCTCTTCCCCCTTCCCTTTCTTTATCCATTTATCAGTTGAGAGGCATGTAGGTTGTTCCCAGGTTCTGGCTACTACAAATAATGAATGCTGCTATGAACATAGTTGAATCAATGTCCTTGTAGTATGGTTGAACATCCTTTGGATATATGCCCAAGAGTGGTAGTGCTGAGTCATGAGGTAGGTTGATTCCCAATTTTCTAAGAAACTGCCATATTGATTTCCAGAGTGATTGTACAAGTTTGCATTCCCAAAAGCAATGGAGGAGTGTTTCCCTTACTCCACATCCTCTCCAGCATAAGCTATCCTTGGTGTTTTTGATCTTAGCCATTTTGACCGGTGTAAGATGGTATCTCAGAGTTGTTTTGATTTGCATTTCCCTGATGGGTAAGGATGTTGAACATTTCCACAAGTATCTTTCAACCATTTGAGATTCTTCTGTTGAGAATTCTCTGTTAGTTCTGTACCCCATTTTTTATTTGGAATTTTGATGTTTAATTTCTTGAGTTCTTTATGTGTTTTGGAGATCAGTCCTCTGTTTGATGTAGGGTTAGTAAAGATCTTTTCCCATTCAGTAGGTTGTCTTTTTGTCTTATTGACTGTACCATTTGTTTTACAGAAGTTTCTCGGTTTCAGAAGGTCCCATTTATTTATTGTTGGTCTCAGTGTCTGTGCTACTCGTGATGTACTTAGGAAGTGGTCTCCTGTGTCCATGCATTGAAGGCTACTTCCCACATTCTATTCTTTTTTTTTCTTTTCTTTTTATTTATTAAAAATTTCTACCTCCTCCCATTTCCACCCACTTTCTATTCTACCAGGTTCAGTGTGGTCAGATTTATATTAAGGTCTTTAATCCATTTGAACTTGAGTTTTGTGCATGGGGATAGATATGGTTCTATTTGCATTCTTCTACATGTTGATATCCAGTTATGCCCACACCATTTGTTAAAGATGCTTTCTTTTATCCATTGTATAATTTTAGCTTCTTTATCAAAAACCAGGGGTTCATGGGTGTTTGGATTAATATCCGGGACTTCAATATGACTCCATTTCTCAGTGTGTCTGTTTTTATGTCAATACCATGTTGTTTTCATTACATTACATTTCTATAGAGCTTGATGTCAGGGATGCTGATGCCTATGGAAGTTCCTTTATTGTAAAGAATTACTTTGGCTATCCAGGGCTTTTTGTTTTTCCATATGAAGTTGATTATAGTTCTTTCAAGGTCTGTGAAGAATTGTGTTGGAATTTTGGTGGGGATTGCATTGAATTGTTTTGATAAAATTGCCATTTTTATTGTTGATCCTACTATTCAAGAACATGAAAGATCTTTCCATTTTCTGGTATCTTCTTCAACTTCTTTCTTTAAAGATTTAAAGTTCTTGTTGAACAGGTCTTTCACTTCTTTGATTAGTGTTACCCCGAGATATTTTATGTTATTTGTGGCTATTGTGAAGGGTGATGTTTCTCTGATTTCTTTATCAGCTTCTTTATCATTTGTACATAGGAGAGCTGCTGATTTTTTTTTAGTTGATCCTGTATCCTGCAACAGTATTGAAGGTATTTATCACTTGTAGGAGTTCCCTGGTAGAGTTTTTGGGGTCATTTATGTATATGATAATACGGTATTATATAATATACTATCATATCATCTGCAAATAGTGTAAGTTTGACTTCTTCCTTTCCAATTTGAACCCCCTTGATCTCCTTTTGTCGTCTTATTGCTCTGGCCAGAACTTCAAGAACTATGTTGAATAGATATGGAGAAGGTAGACCGCCTTGTCTTGTTCCTGATGTTCATGGAATCACTTTGAGTTTCTCACCATTTAATTTGATGTTGACTATTGTCTTGCTCTATATTGCTTTTATTATGTTTAAATATGTTCCTGGTATCCCTGATCTCTCCAAGACCTTTATAATGATGGAGTGTTGGGTTTTGTTGAATGGTTTTTTAGCATCTAGTGACATATGATCATTTTTTTCTTTCAGTTTATTTATATGATGGATTACATTGATAAATTTTCATATGTTGAATCATTTCTGTATCTCTGGAATAAAGCCTATTTGATCATGGTGGATGATTTTTTTATGTGTTCTTGAATTCAGAATTTTATCAAGCATTTTTGCATTTATGTTCATTAGTGTGAATGGTCTGTAATTCTCTTTTGTGTTTGAGTCTTTGTGTGGTTTTGGTATCAGGGTAAATGTAGCCTCATGAAAAGAGTTTGGCAATGTTCGTTCTGCTTCTCGTATATGGAACAATTTGAGGAGTATAGGTATTAGCTCTTCTTCGAAGTTCTGGCAGAATTCTGCACTAAAACCATCTGGCCCTGGACTTTTTTGGCTTGGAAGGCTTTTGATGACTCCTATTTCCTTGCAGGTTATAGGTCTATTTAAATTGTTCACATGGTCTTGATTTAACTTTGGTATGTGGTACCTATCCAGAAAATTGTCAGTTTCTTTTACATTTTTCAATTTTCTGGATTATAGATTTTTGTAATGATTATCTGGATTTCCTCAGTCTCTGTTGCTATGTCCCCCTTTTCATTTCTGATTTTGTTAATTTGGATGTTCTCTCCTTACTTTTTGATTAGTTTGGATAAGAGTTTGTCTGTCTTGTTGGTTTTCTCAAAGAACCAGCTCTTTGTTTTATTGATTCCTTGTATTGCTTTCTTTGTCTCTATTTTTATTGATTTCAACCCTTAATTTGATTATTTTCTATTGTCTACTCCTTCTGGGTGAGTCTGCTTTTTTTGGTTCTAGAGCTTTCAGGTGCTGTTAAGTCACTAGTGTGGGATTTCTCCACTTTCTTCATATAAACACTTAATGCTATGAACTTTCCTATTAGCACTGCTTTCATAGTGTCCCATATTTTTGGGCAAGCTGTGCCTTCATTTTCATTGAATTCTAGGAAGTCTTTAATTTCTTTCTTTATTTCTTCCTTGACCCAGGGGTGGTGCAATTGAGCACTGTTCAATTTTGATGAGTTTCTAGGTTTTTTGCAATTAGTGTTGCTGTTAAATGCTAACTTTAAACCATGGTGATCTGATAAGATACAGGGGGTTATTCCAATTTTTTTTATTTGTTGAGGTTTGCTTTGTTACTGAGTATGTTGTCAATTTTAGAGAAGGATCCACGAGGTGTTGAGAAGAAGTTATATTCTTTTGTGTTTGGGTGGAATGTTCTGTAGATGTCTGTTAAGTCTGTTTGTGTCATGACATTTGTTAGTTCTCTTATTTCTCTGTTAAATTTCTCTCTTGTCACCTGTCCATTGTGGAGGGTGGAGTGTTGAAGTCTCCTACTACTAGTTTGTGTGGTTCGATTTGCAGTTTAAGCTTTAGTAATGTTTCTTTTACATATCTGAGTGCTCTTGTATTTGGGGTATTAGACATTCAGGATTGAGACTTCATCTTGATGGATTGTTCTTGTTATGAGCATAAAGTGTCTTCTCTATCTCTTCTGATTTATTTTGGTTTGAAGTCTATTTCGTTAGCTATTAGGATAGCTACACCTGTCTTTTTTCTTAGGTCCATTTGATTGTAAAGTCTTTTCCCAACCCTTTACTCTGAGGTAATGTCTGTCTTTGAGGTTGAGGTGTTGTATGATCACTAGGCTCTGGTGTTACCATGTTGCTTTTTAGGTTGTTGAATGAATTCTTGCATTGGCGCCTACCCGTCTCTTCCTCCATGCCCCATGCTACTGTCTCGCCAGCAAGAACCACACGGGACACAGGATCCTTCTGCAGAAAAGCTTTAATGCCCCTTGGGAGAGAGAGCATCAGCAAACATGGCGGAGACCCAGATATGAAGGAACCCATCCCTTATATAGGAAACAGTCCTTGCTTCGGACGTGTCGCTCTTGGATTGGTCAACTGTCCATTATCCCAGCTGATGCCTCGGGAGTAGGCGGGGACTCAGTGGAAAGTTACCTAGCACATGTGCGTTCACCTGGTGGTGAAACCGGATGTCAGCACCATCTTGTAATGGGGCATGTGGATGCGGCCCTTCACATCTCCCCCTATTTTTACTTCTTTGCAGAAAGGCAACTCCCTCAGAAGGTAAAGATAGAGGTCGCACTTCCCAAAGTGGAAACATTAAAATGGGCTTACATGGAATCTGCCCCTAGGCTCATGACACCTGGAACTTATCTGGCCTGCCCTCTGCCATTTTTCTGGGAAAGGGAATATGCGGCAGGAAACCCTTATGCAGGGCGACATATCTCTCAGAGAGGGCCATTCTCTGTGCGATGCTCTTTAGCTTGACAACCTTCAGGGCTAGCTAAGCCAAACACTCCACCCTGTGCCATGGACCACTGTCCTAGGGGTGCAGGAACTGGTTGGCATAAACCTTACTGCTTCAACATAGATAACCACACATAAATAGAGGCTCCCTGTTCCAGGGCAGTCAGCGCTGGTGCAATAACCACTTTGTCCCTACGACTTTGGGATTTGAGTCAGCAGACCATCCAGAGGGGAAACACTATTCCACAGCATAGGGCTGCTCCAAAACACTTCCACCCCCACCCATTCTTTGAAGTAGGGGATGAAGGACACGACCCAGGACTGGAATCCTATGGCCAAGCTTATGTCCACTCGCGTGGAGTTGATTGTCACGATGGACCGTCTCAAGGAGGACAGCAAATCATCAAAATTCTCCTGCAAGATACAAAGACAATTCTCGGGACAAGTTAGCCACTTTTATAAAGTTCTCATATGGTACACTGGTCACACATAAGGCTGGAGTTTTCCATTCACAGCCCAATTGGGCAGGCTGCCATAAGATATCCACCTGTTCTTGTACTAGGTCAATTATTTGATTAAGAACCATTATTCCACCTCTAATAGATGTATCTATGGTAGCCTGCTGATCCAGGGCTGTAGCCACTGTGGTAGATAACTGATTGAGGGTCTCTGTTTTCCATGGTATAGGCCGTGCTGTTCCAGTGGCGCCTAGGAAAAACCCAGGCCCTGTTTGTTGATATCAGGTTTAAGATTTATTGGCTCCCATATTCCTTGTCGGGTACGGTGGCCTCGGGCTCCAGAGCCTGCCCCGCCATCCAAGGGCTGCGCACGGCCCTGGGCCTGCTCGCTGCACGGCTCCACGTGTCCCAGGCCAGGAAGTGGCGGCTCCACCCCCAGGCGCCCCTGCCTTCTCCGCGGGGCTAGCCTAGTTCTCTGCGGCTGTGTTGGTGGGGGAGTGTGGCGGGAGCCAACACCCGGACGGAGGCAGCACAGGCCGGCAATATCTCAAGGTCCACGCCAGAGCCGCTGCGGCTCAAGGGGCTGATGGGAGAGGCGGCGAACAGGGCCGCTTCCTTATTAGCAAACTCTCAACACCTGTGCCACAGTAAAATCCAAGGGCTTTTCGCATCCACCTCCCTGCGGATCCTGAAACATTAGATAAGCCAAGCGTATATACAGCAATCTTTCAGGAGGACTTGAGTTCTTAAAATGCTAAGCAGTTCTTAAAAACTTAAGTCGCACTATGTAGATGTAATATGGTAGTGCCTGTTTACAGTGTCTAAACCTTAATTGCGCTTTTATTATGATAATTACGATCAGTCCTGCCTGAAGTCAGCATAGTTTAGTATAGCCAAGTGGAACCAGAGCCATTTAGCCTCAGAGACCCTCACAGTTTTAGGTACATTGCAAGCCTTCTGGCCTGGCAGCTTGTGGCACCGCTCTCATTCTCGGTACTGTTGTGACACCCTCCAGGCCAGGCACCAACTGAGCCGGCGCAACGTGCCCCCCACCATAGCCACCGAGCAAAGCTCCACTCCAGCCGCCCTCCAACAGCAACTGCACCCACTCCGAGCCCAAACCGGTGCATGGAGCAAAGCGGAACTCAGAGAAGCAGATTTGCTGCTCTGCAACCATTGGAATGACCTCATTTAATCTTTCAGGGAATTTGGGCGTCGTCAGTCTCTCTGGCTATTTCCTGCTGAATTGGGACGTTGCATTTTAGGGGTATACACTACAACATTTCAGGAGGTCTCGGTGATTCAAACCACATAAATTCCAAGTACACCTTTAGGCTCTTATTTTCCGTGGAGACGAAAACAGAACCTCTTTTCCAAAACATCATATCCTTAGCAGTTCCTAAATTTAAATATCCTTCTCCTGTCCAGTACACAAAAGACAACATGAACAACATAAGATAAAGCTTTTGACCTTGTATATCAGTCTTCTCCCCCATTTTTAGAACCTCTGAGGGGTCATTTTTGACTTATCTAGGTGCGCGCGCACAACCTCCCACTGCTGCTCAGTTTCTGATATGCTATCTGGACTTCAGAGTCATACCTCTCTGAGCATGCATACCTGCAGTTCTGAATCCCTCCTGGTCTCCGGCGGTGCAGAGTTTTTCTTCCCGGGTATCAGCACCAAATGCCCCACGCTACCGTCTCGCCAGCAAGAACCACGCAGGACACAGGATCCTTCTGCAGAAAAGCTTTAATGCCCCTTGGGAGAGAGAGCATCAGCAAACATGGCGGAGACCCAGATATGAAGGAACCCATCCCTTATATAGGAAACAGTCCTTGCTTCGGACGTGTCGCTCTTGGATTGGTCAACTGTCCATTATCCCAGATGATGCCTCGGGAGTAGGCAGGGACTCAGTGGAAAGTTACCTAGCACATGTGCGTTCACCTGGCGGTGAAACCGAATGTCAGCGCCATCTTGTAATGGGGCATGTGGATGCGGCCCTTCACACCTCCAAATGATGCTGGCAGTGTCTTTGCCTCTTGATCCAATCCTTGCAGTGTCTGTCTGTGTCTTTGGAAACTGTTCATAGCCTGTTCTGTACTTGTCACTGTCTGTGCCTCAGAGAGCCCTGGAGGTCTCTCTGGACCTGCTCTCTTGGTCTGCTCTCTTGGCTCACTATTTTGGTCAACTCTATGTAATCAGAGCCTGTGCTTCAGAGTTCCTCTCTTGCTCCTCTTTGTATAATTGCAGCTTGTCTTTCAGAGCTCCTCTGAGATTGTGAAAGGACAGAAGGGTTTGGGGGCAGAGTGAGTCTTGTAGCATACAGGGTCCAATTGATGGGATTACATGGAATGTTTTAATCTGTTACTTCTCAATTCCTTTTACTATAGGTCGTTTGGGCCAATTCACTTAAAGTTGGATGTGCAGTTGCAGATTGTCCTCGTATCTTGGGAAGATCAGCTGCACTGTTTGTATGTAATTATGCACCAGCGTAAGTTAATTTGCTAAAAAAAAAAAAAAAAAAAACAAAAGTTCTAAGTTAATAACAAATGTTTACAAAGTTGGGTATGGCAAAGTGCACTTTTAATTCCAGTACCCAGGAACCAGAAATGGTTGAATCTCTGTGAGTTCCAGGCCAGTTTTGTCTACACAATGAGTTCTAGACCAGCCAGTACTATATAGAAAGACCCTGTCTCAAAGGAAATCAACAACAACCAAAAAAACCCCAAATGTTCACAAAACAGAATCTTACCCTAGACCCTAGAGTATTTTTGATGACGACTCTCTCTGCAAAACTAATTTTAGAAGTGAAAATAGAATAGTGACAAAGTATTGCCTAAATGAAAAGTCCCTCCTCTCAGAGAAGTTATTTCTTAAGTCTAAATAGTAGAGGCTGGGACAATGACTCAACTAGTAAGATGTCTGTCTGGAAAGCATTAGGACCTGAGTTTGGTCCCTGACACCTACATAAAAGGCCAGCACTATGGGCACACCAGCACTGCCAGTATGAAATAGGCAGAGTCAGGAAGATGCCTGGTGCTTGCTGGCCTAGCCAGTCAATGAGCCACAGGGTCAGGGTCACAAAGAGACTGTCTTAGAAAGCATGCTCCGGAGTCACTGAGAAAGATGCCCAACATTGGTCTTTACACACATGTACACACACACATGAATAGAGGCAAAGGTAATATAATAAAAACTGCCAGAAGATTACTGAAATGTAAAACAAAAATGTCAGCAAACACCACTCTAATGAATGTTAACAACAGAATAAGAAAAAGAGCAATATTATTTTCTCAAGGGCACTTTCTTTTGGAGGAAAGAATGTCATTTTAAATGTGCTATGGGTTAACTCTTGCTCAAATGAAAATATAAATAATTTGAAAATATAAAATATAAATGAAATTTTAGAACTCTAGCCCAAATATCTACTAACATAAAAGGAATATTTAAACAGGTGATAATGTGATTCTTCAGGAAACAAAAATTTAAAGATGGATATTTGTAAATGAAAACTCAAAAAATAAATATATGGAAGTGATGAAGAGAAGGTAAGATAAGGTATGAGGAGACGGAAATGTGATTTACTGCTGTTCTTCCTTCTGCCTTTCATTGAGCAGCTAAAACAAGAAGGACAAACACCACCCCAACAGCTCAGGCCAAATACAGTTTCTCCCATTGCAAAAAAAAAAAACCCATTGTATAATTGCTGTCATACAGCTTTATATTTCTTAAGAAGAAATCAAGAAAGACTAATCATTGATGGAAATTACTAAAGGACAGTATCACTTCCTAGAATTTAGGCTTTTGAAAAGAAAGAAGAAGCTAGAGGGGGTTGGAGAAGAGAGAGAAAAGGGAGAGAGAGATAAAGGAAGGGAAGAAAAAGAAGAGTAAGGGAAGGAGGAGGAAAGACAATGAATGGGGGAGTTTTGATGGCATCTTAGTACATAGGAAACAAGTCTTCTACTGAACCATGGATGTTGTTGCTTTTTCTTTTTCACATTCGTGGCTCACTGTAAGGCAGAAACAGCTTGCATAAATGTAGACTATAGACATGTAAAGGCATCATTGACTCATGAATGTTCTCCTTCTTGCAGCGGAAATGTGAATAACGCCAGTCCTTACATAAAAGGAGAATCTTGCTCCATTTGTGAAACAAATGTCTGCATCAGTAATCTCTGCCGTAAGCAAAAAATCATAGCATTATATTTAGACAACGGTGTTTCAATATTTTCTTTATTTTTATTTTTACATCTGGCCCTTTCTGCTTTGAATTTCTAGATGTCTTGGTTGTTTCTATAAGAACATAAAGCATTCACCATAAATCATTTATAAACAGATGATTACCCCCCTTATAATTGGTTATTTTTTTTAACCTCTTACTTGTTTGGGGGGCTGCCACCAAACTCCCAAATAAATCACATATGAAGACTTATTCTTTCTTATGAATGCCCGGCCTTAGCTTGGCTTATTTCTAGCCAGTGTTTTTTTTTTAACTATCCCACCTGTATTTGCCTCTGGTCTTTTACTTCTCCCTATTTCTGTATACCTTTCTTCATGTCTTACTCTGTGGCTTGTTATGTAGCTGGGTGGCTGGCCCCTAATATTTTCCTCCTCATTCCTTGATCTTCTCTTCCCATATTTCCCCTATTTATTCTCTATATCTGCCAGTCCTGTCTACCCTTTCTCCTGCCTGGCTATTGGTTGTTGGGCTCTTTATTAAACTAGTTAGGTGTTTTAGGCAGGCAAAGTATCACAGCTTCACAGAGTTAAACCAATGCAACATAAAAGAATGCAAACATCTCTGCATCATTAAAACAAATGCTCCAGAGCATAGACAAAAGTAACACATCTTATAATATACCACAACAACCCCCTCCACGGATATTTCCCCTTTCAAGTAAAAAGACAAAAATAAATTAAATACAAATGATATCAAGTTTGCTGCTGTGCTCAAAAGGGCTATTGCCTGACATGTTTATTTGCAAATGCTTATAACCACGGTTATTTAATTATTACTAGAATAGCGACTCCTTCAGAGCTAAATACCAGTCTTTACTAGAATTGTGACTAAAAACATGTTTCTCTTCCATCTTTAGCTTTTTCATTGATTGCAGTTACTGCTTGTTAGCTTCATAACTCTATATGATCCTTTTAATTGCTCTACGCCCCTACATTCTCCCCCTCATTCCCACCAAACGCCCCTCATTCCTACCAGTTCCTTCCTTACACTCAGGACTTAACACTTTTATTCTGTGAGCCATTTACTTTAACAAGAGTCATCTATGTGACCAGTGAATTGGAAATGCCCATTGGAGCCTGTTGAGGTCATCAGTGGGCACACAATTGAAGGCAGTGATTCCTCGTTCCCTGAAACCACCAGTAGAATATAGTTCAGGGGTGAGTGGTAGGGTCCCTTGACTCCTTCCTCCAATCTACTTGACTGCTGGAAAGCCCATTATTTTGCAGATCCACTGTAAGTATGCATAGGCGCTGAGAAGGGATGAGTTCAATGGCCGTGTTTAGTCCAAAAGATGATGCTGAACTCTTCCTCTCCTTGTCTCCAAACTCTTACCCTCCTTCCCCTCCCCTTTCCACACTGCTGCTGATCCTTGGAGTGTATGATGAGCTGAGCGCGCATCTCTGATTTATTCCTCATACCTTGTGCAGCTTTGACTTTCTTCATTCTCCAACATTCACTAAGAGAAGTTCCTGAGATGAAAGGGGAGAGTATGATTGTCCTGTGGGTTTAACCATAAATATTTGGAAGGCAGACTGACACTATGAATACCATTCCCTTCTGGAACTGATGATCTCCCTGCCACAACTTTTCGACCAGGTTTACAGCACTATCGCAGGACCACCCATGGATTTTCTCCTAGGGAGTAGGTCTAAAACAAATTTGATCACAGAGCAAATGTTTACCTCTGTAGTGGCAGTGCCACCATCGCATGGGCAGGCACGTCTTTTCTGCAGATTGCTTCCTAGATTGTTAAAGCCAAATGCAGCAGACCGTGTTGACTTTTCTCCCCAAGCAGCCTGCATAGCATTTGCTCCAACTATGAAAGCTAGCGAGTAGTAAGGAAACTTCCAACTCCATTTTAACCTGTTTTCTCTGTATCATGCATCATACATGTGTGGTGTCTTCAGCAGTAGAATGTTGTCATATAACTCTGATGGGGAGCCGAAAAGAATGAAAAGAGACAGTATTGTTTGGGGGACCTCTGGGACCTCACTAGTCAAATATCATGAGGAGACATTTTTACCCCTGGGCCCTGAGATTTTATGTAATGAGCCGTTTCTAAAAGAGAGAAGCATACTCTCCCAGCTATGGACAGTATCTCACTTCAAGCTCTCCTCTATGCATATATTTGGTACAAGGTAGTATGTTTCCATATGGCTTTTCTCAAATGCTCTTTGCTTTAGTTAACCCTCCACCAGCATTCATTTACCCGGTCTCCCCTCAGCATCCTCCCTCCTTAAACTTTTCCAACTTCAGTGGTCCTCCTCCATTTTCATTTTCCCTCCATTCTGTTAGTCACCACCCTTAAGGCATCCACCTCCCACCCACCTCGTAATAGTTTCCTAGGTTCTATGGGTACTCCAAAACTAGAGACCTGAAGCTAGAATCAGAACACATGGCATTTGGGTTTCTGTTCCTGGGTTACCTCATTCAACATAATTACCTCCAGATCTATCTCCCAACTTGAAATGTTTGTATTTTTACTTTTCTACTGTCAAAATTTCCTTGCATATATATGTAGCATGCTTTCATTATCCAATCATCAATTTATAGGTAGCTAGGCTGGTTGCTTTCACAACTACCGGAAATAGAGTTCAGTGAACATGGCTGAGCAAGTTTCTTTGTAGTAGAATAGGAAGTCCGTTGGGAGTGTGTCCCATACTGGAATAGCTGGGTCATATGGTGTTTCTATTCCTAGTATTTTTGGAGATCTGCACACTGATTTCCACAGTGTCTACACAGTTTGTACTCCCAACAACAGTGAATAGGGTGCATATTTCCCCACGTCTTAGTCAGCATTTGTCATTATTGATTTCCTAACGATAGCCATTCTGACTAGGGTAAGATGGAATCTCAAAATATTTTTATTTTGGGTTCCCCTGGTGACTAATAACATTGAACATCTTTAGAAGAAGTTTTACCTACCCGTATTTTCTTTGAGAGTTCTCTACTCAGTTTATACCAATTTGTTATTTGACTTACTCTTTTTCTATGACGATTTGCTTATTCTTGTTGTCTTAGTTTCTCAAATAATCTCAATATTCATCCTCTGTATAGTTGGCAAATATTTCCATCCAATTCTGAAGGTTATTTCTTCAGTTGATTGCTTAATTTTCTACTTACATGCCATTCAAAATGGAAAATATCAAAAATACCTTTTGTGTGTGTGACAGGGTCTCATGTATCCCAGGTTGGCCTCTACCCATGCAACCAACAATGACCTTCAGTTCCTGACCTTCCTGCCTTCACCTCCTGAGTGCTGGGATTACAAATATGAACCAGCACGCCTGGTTCATACTGACACAGGGACCAAAATGCATGGCAGGCAAGCACTGTACCAAGCGAGCTACATCTTTATTCCAGAGCTTTCTAGATTATTCTATCTGTATTTGGTTTAAAATCCAGAACAATTGATCTGTGTTTGTAGTTATTGTGGTGGGTACCTTTGGAGGACAATGAATAATCAATTGGAAAGGGATGGCTAAAGGGCTTTCTGGCCCAATGCGCAGGACGCAGGAAACACAGATATTCCCACAATGATCTAAGTCAGGAATCGTTAGGGTTCAGTATCATGACTGTGTTACCAGATTCACCAGCGAATGAGTTCAGAGATAGTCCATGTTGAAATAATAATTTATTTTAAAATATATTTGAAATTACCTCATAGTGCAGATTTAATAAAAAAGGTATTTTTGAAAAGTGATATGCTATTTACCTCCTATTTGCAAGTTCATATTTTCTAGTCAAAAGAACTTAAAGATAATAGTGATATATTCACATTTCTTCCACTTCTCCTTCCTGTACAGTATCCAAATTACTAACATTTTTTCCATAACCACTGCAGTCTCCCATATCTCTTTTGTGTGTGCATATACATGTGTGTATATTATATATGTGTGTGTATATATATATGACATTTAAATAATATCTGCTTTATACAAATTTCTTATTTATTTATTTATTTATTAAAAATTTCCACCTCCTCTCCTCCTCCCATTTCCCTCCTACTCTCCTCACTCCCCCTTCCCCTCCCTCTCCAGTCCTAAGAAATGGCAGGGTAGCCTGCCCTGTGGGAAATCCAAGACCCCCCCACCTCCATCCAGGTCTAGGAAGGTGTGCATCCAAACAGACTAGTCTCCCAAAAAGCTAGTACATGCAGTATAATCAAAACCCAGTGCCATTGTCCTTGGCTTCTTAGTCAGCCTTCACTGACAGTCACATTCAGAGAGTCCGGTTTGATCACATGCTCATTCTGTCCCAGTCCAGCTGGCCTTGGTGAGCTCCCATTAGATCAGTCCCACCGTCTCCATTGGTGGGTGCACCCCTCGCAGTGCTGACTTCCTTTCTCATACTTTCCCTCCTTCTGCTCTTCATCTGGACCTTGGGAGCTCAGTCCAGTTCTCCAATGTGGGTGTCTCTCTCTATTTCCATCCATCACCGGATGAAGGTTCTATGGAGATATGCAAGATATTCATCAGTGTGGCTATGGGATAAGGCCAGTTCAGGCACCCTCTCCTCTGCTGCCCAAGGATCTAGCTGGGGACATCCCCTTGGACACCTGGGAACCCCTCTAGAGCCAAGTCTCTTGCCAACCCTAACATAGCTCCCTTAATTAAGAATAGGAAACATTTTGGGTAGGACCGATGTCTAAAATTCTATTTCTGTTGAGTGTAAAAGTGTTATTGGCTCCCTTCATTAAGATATCTTCTTCCCTACTCCCATATCCACCCTTCCTCCATCTCAACCATCCCATTCCCCCAAGCTCTCCCCAATCCTCCACTTCTCCCTTCTCTTTCCCCATCTCCCCTTCCCCCCACCCAACCCCCACCCCCGAGCTCCCAACTTTTGCCCGGCAATCTTGTCTACTTCCAATATCCAGGAGGATAAATATATGATTTTCTTTGGGTTCACCTTCTGATTTAGCTTCTCTAGGATCACAAATTATAGGCTCAATGTCCTTTTGTTTATGGCTAGAATCCACTTATGAGTGAGTACATACCATATTCATCTTTTGGGGTCTGGGTTACCTCACTCAGTAAAGTGTTTTCTATTTCCATCCATTTGCATGCAAAATTCAAGATGTCATTGTTTTTACTTCTGAGTAGAACTCTAAAGTATATATGTGCCACACCTTCTTTATCCATTCTTCTATTGAGGGGTACCTAGGTTGTTTCCAGGTTCTAGCTATTACAAATGGTGCTGCTATGAACATAGCTGAACAAATGCTTTTGTAGTATGATTGGGCATCTCTTGGGTATATTCCCAAGAGTTTTTCATTTTTAAGTTCAAAATTCTTCTGTACCTTGATTATTTTAAAAACTAGAAAAAAATCAAATTTTTCATTTCATGCAGCTTTCTTTCATTAAAACTACATAATTTATGCATGATAATCATATAAAACAATTCAATTATTTTTCTTTTTGAAATAAAATTGAACTTTTAATTATTGTGTTTTATTGACAGGTCACGTGACTGGGAGAGCAACTCAGCAGACAGCATGCCATCTTCTCACGCTAGGTTTTATTTTTTATAGACTACTTTAATTGTTATTTCTATTCAGAAGAAATTCCTAAATGCTATAATAAAGACTATTTTCTGAGTAATTAAAACTCAAGATCTGTTTAGTTCCTTGTTACATTATCTACATTCTTGTCTAAAATTTAAAGTCAACATCTACTTTCAACTCAAAAAGATACATATATATATATATATACATCTATATAGCATATATAATATATGCATGTATAGATAGTTGGTAGTATAGAAACTGGGAAGCAGAGGAATGAAGTTAAGGCTGTGTTTTTATGTCCTAAGGTTGTTTGCTGATAATGCACATGTATGTGTGTCTATGAGTGGGTGTGTGCACATGTGAAGACCAAAGTTCGGATCCTCAGCACCCATGGGTGCCGGGGTCGGTGTGGAAGTCCACCTAATTCCATCATGTGGGAAGTAGAGACTGAGGTTTCCAGAGCACGCTGGCTAACTAGATAGACTCCAGTCAGCAAGCTCAGAATTTAACTGAGAGACCGTACCTCAAAATAGAAGGTGGGGAGCAACACAGGAAGACATCTTAGTCAATCTTGGGCCAACAAACATGCACATGCACCACAAATGTACATCTACACACACGTGAACACACATGCACCGAAAAGAAAATGGAACAGACTGAGAAAAAGAGTCAACAAAGTTGAAGTATACTCCTACTATGCACAGGACAAAATCATACATTTATGTATTTTTAGCTTTATTCTTTGTTTGTTCTCCTTAAATGAACATAAAAAAATAAGTTTTCCAATTTTCATAAAATTTTAATCATCAAGTTAAACTCCTACAAGAAGAAACAGATAATCTGAATAGGCCTATGCTTATTAAATAAATTAAAGAAATAATTAATTACCCAAACAGAAAGCACCAGGCCCAGATAAATTCTACCAGCAAAATTTAACAAACATTGAAGAATGCCATTGTACATAGGCAGAGGTTGCTAAACCTCTTTTAAGTCAACCTGGCCAACAGAGTGAGTTCGAGAACTGTGAGGACCCACAGAGTCTACCTTGACTGGAGGTCCTGAGTTTGAGCTTAGTTTCACTCTCTCAAAGTTGTTGACAATAGGTGTGGCTACAAATGAGAGATGCTGGCCTAGGCTGTGGTTAATTAGTGCTTTGGGTGTAGGGTGAATCTGCTCCGCCTGGACAGAAGGTTGGAGAATTCACGTCTATTCCTTACATCGTGTTAATGCAGTCTGTTGCCTCCCTCTCCCCTTTTGGAGAGAAGTACTTAAGCATGTGGAAAACACATAAGGCAAATTCAGTATTCCCAATGCTGTTCTGTGTTTCTGTCTCTTATTTCTCTTATAGCTCTGTTCTTTCTGCTTAATAATTCTAATCCTCACACTCCTACCCTGAAATGGATGAGTTTTGTCCAAGCTAGTCTTCAATACAGGACAGTCAGAGAAACATAGGAGATCCCGTCTTGATAAAACAAACAAAAAAAGAGTGCTATTATAATGGTCTACCCCATTTGTAAAAAACAATAAGAAAAAGAAATACTTCCAAGCTCAATCTATTAGGCACTGAATTTTTGCACACAACAGCAAAGGCATGATCCATGACAGAAAGAACTGAGATAAGCTATATGTCATTGAAATTAAAAACACTCCTAAGTTGCTGAGAAAAGCAAAAAAGGACAAAGTACTTTCAAAATCATACCTGATAAGTGACTATTATCCAAAATATGCAAATAACCCTTCAAACTCAAGAATTAATGCTATACTCGTTAGAAGAAAAATGGCCAAAAACCTTAGCCTCAATAATAAGGGAGAGGAGAATATTCAAAGACACTCTATATCCTAAATCGTCAGGGAAAGGAAGACTAAATGGAACAACTCCACACATCTATTAAAAACCTCCAGATCTTGACAACACCAAATGGGAACAAATAACATGGAGCAGAAGAAATTCTCATTCAACCCCGGTGGGAAGGCAAAGGGTACAAACACACCAGAAAGCAGTCCACCAGTTTCCGAGGCAACTGATCTGATCATAGAGGCCTGTGAGGCCTCAGGTCAAGGTACCTGCTGCAAAAGCATGGCAACCTGAAAGCAAGCATGGTGAGCTGAATTCCAGTTCGCGAAAGGGGGAAAAGGGAGAAATGTTACCCAAAGTTGTCCTCTGAGCTATACATGTGTGCTTGTCCCATGGTTCAAGTGCTCAAAATACACAGGCACATAAACAGTAATAGATGATGATGATGATGATGATGATGATGATGATGATACAATCATGAGCACCCTCCTGCCCTGTGAATATAGCTTTCCATAAAATGTAGGGGACATAGAGATCTTTGTGCTCACAGACACACATTAGAGGGAACCTAGAAGGCAAAGCACACAAGGAAGGAGGGAGGTGAAACCTGTTTTCAGCACACTGGAGCCCACTGGTGAAACAAATGTGCCTGCTAGCCTAGTGATCTTTGTGCTATCTGTGTGGCTAGAGACGTCTCTGCTCCTGGACCCTCCTCCAGACCCTTCTTGTAGATTTTCCTCAGTCAATCCTTCGAACCCATCTTTATGGATTTTGCCAAATTTCACATAGCAAAACTCTTTCTATGCTCTTCTTTCTGTATACTTTTTTCTCTAGCTTATACATCTCAACACATTTTTCAAGCAATATAGGAATTACAATGACATTACATTCTGTTTTTCAAGTGAATGATTATAAATGAATACAGGTAAAACATGTTACATGTTTTTACATATTACCTTTACATATTACATGTGAAAAACAAATTATCCCCAAAACCCACGTATATTCATACTGAAGAAACTTGTTATAGATTAACTGTGTAGGCAAGGAAGGTATTCTCAGTCAGGTCTTTTACTGGCAGGCTGCATTTTGCAGTTACAAATAAAGAGCCAATTACACCATTACTTATCTTGAAAGGTAATCTTAAAGGAATCACTAACCTAAACTTTTATATATATGAAAAAGAATCAGCCAGCTCTACTTTAAATCTTTAGGGAACACACTCAATCACAAATAGTTTTTATATCAGGAGATTGAGGGCAAAACTGGGTACAAGGAATTAATCATCACCTTTCGTCATCAACCAACCCTAGCAAGAAAAGTGCATCAGCTGGTAATAATTTGACTGCTTTGTTCTTGTTTCCTGACCTCAACAAGATCTTCACTCAACCATGTGTCTTCCTAAAACCTTAGATTGTCTTCTTGGGTTTTCCACCTCAAAGCTATTATCGAAACATCTGATCTAACTTGAAGTTATTTTAAGGTGGTTTTTTTTTTTTCAGTTAATGATGCACTTGAAATCCTCTGACCACATCTCCCAAAATTAAGGTTAAAAGAATTTAAGCTGGGTAAGCTACTAGGACTACACTATCTTTCTTAATCATTAACCTAAGTCGCAGTCCATAGGTCTTCTCTCAATAGAAACTCATGTGTTCTGGCTCTGTGACACTTCCTTGCTTATATTGTTAATCATCAAAACACTATTTAAACTAACATTATTATTGTCGGTGAGGTAGTACAGAATAATAAGAAATCACCTTTAGAATCATCCACAGGTAAAAATGCCAAAATGTTTCCATGAGATAAGCACACCGCATTACAGGCAGTAGAGCCCCACACCCATTCACACCATGCAAATACCAGAGTCAGATAGCAGTAGCAAACATGGAAAAGCACAGCAAAAACAAAAGACTTTCCAGGGTCTGTGCTCTTGGGCCTTGCCTATCCGAGATTCACCCATTAGGGTGCCTCCTCCTGGTGGGCTGAGATCTTGAACTTTAACTACCACCTGCTGCTCCTCTGACAAGGCCACCAGCCCAGCAGTACCTCATGCTTGCAAAACATGTATGTAGTCTTACCCTAGAGCCAACTGCAGCCACTAGAAAATTTTCACTTGAAGCTCATGTTTTACTTTTGATGTTTATTTGCATATCCGCTCAGTCTTTCAATGGATTCATCCTACACCAGACACACACAATCTGCTAACGTGCGAAGATTAGAAAAGGTAAAATATATGAGCCTTGTATCACTGACCTAATCGGTGATGTTTACTAGGTCCTTTGTGCATGTAAAAGATGAATAAGATACAATATCTGTGGTCCAGAAGGTTAAAACACATACAACCTAATAGTAGCATGCTCGTTTCTTCATTCAGTCAACAAACTTTTACTGAAGGCTCAAAGGACCTGTTTTGGGTACTAGAGAAAAATCAGTGGAGAACGTAAAGCCACTGTTTAAGGATTAGCAGGTGCTGCAGAAATGAACACACTTTCAATAAGCAATTGTTTCAGTGAAGAAATGTGGGTGCCCTCACGTAGGAACTGAAGAAAGATCAGGGCGGACATGAGAAAGCAAAGAGGAAGAATCCTTGTCAAACTGAGAGATGTCACCGAGCCAAAAGTGTCTACACAAATGGCTCCATCGTTGGGTTATATAAAGGTGGAGGCATATAGGTATATACACAAGTATGCATGTGGACCAAGAGTCTGTCTGAGTCCATGAGAACACACATTCCTATGTTTGTACCGAAGTGTGGGATGTGTGAAGCCCAGCTCGCCCATGTGTGTGGCACCACAGCAGTGCACATAGCGAGCCCTCATCAGCAGACAATAAATCAGAAACACGTCCTCTCTCGCTCCATAGATATCCTGTTAGGATCCTCGGATTTATTGCCACTGCTGCTGTTGTTTGAGTTTATGTTGCTTCGGTGTTCCTGTCATAACATAATTTCTGCTTTCTGCTAAAGGAAAAAAAACGGTAACTGGTTTCATATACATAAGTTTTTGGTGATTTGTTTTGCTGGCGAGGTTAGCCGATTAGGACAGAACATTCAGTGAGCATCAACCTGCATTTGCTTGAACTAAGTGGCCGTGGAAATAACCTAAATATTTAATTAGACAACCTGAGTATGAGAACCACTAACCTAGAAATACTGAAAAATACCGTGAAATAGTACAGAAAACTTCTGGTTCATCACCAAATAACAGCAACCGACAAATCGATTTAAAACTTTAAAGGCAAAGGGAGTGGACTTCTGCTTGATTCCCAGGGAAGGGAGCAAGCACTGGATTCAGCGCCCTCGTCTTCAGAATACAGATAATCTAGAATCTGCCAGCATCCATCCAATAGGTAAGTTCTAAATTATCAGAAGGTAAGAATTTTGCCAGAAGAAAATCTTTGGCTGTGATTTCCCACAAGCCTATAGAATTTTTGTCTTTCTAGATGATCACTCGGAAGGAAATAGAAGCAAAATCCTAAATGTTTGACAAGGTAATAACTGAAGGCTAAGGGATGCCACGGGGTCCGCCAGTTGCCAAGTCTGTGTTCCCAGAGTCTGAAGAAAGGAACAAAATAATATGCACTTTACTTTAAAAGAATAAATAAGCTAAGCATTAAAAATAGACTCTAAAAAACTCGTAAATTATTTGCTCTTATGCCCCCAGCCTGACAGGATCTCAGCTCTCCACGAGCCTGGAATCGATGTGTGGATCAGGCTGGCCTCAGACACTCTTACAGAGACCTCCCTGCTCCTTCCCTGCCTCCTGAGTGCAGTGATGAAACCCTCTACTCCAGCCATCTGCTCCAATATGTGCAGGAAAGTCCCTAGAGTTGGTTTGCATGGGCCTGAGCCATCTTCAGCACCCTGTAACATCCTCTTTCACAATCCAGACACTCTCTTCTGTGAGGAGATTAGCTCTTCAGAAAGCAAGTTGGTCGCTAAGAACTGTGCAGCAGAGGGCGCTTCAGGCTTTCCCTGAGAGTGTGAGACTTACTGGCTCAGAACTCCCTGGGCATCGGTCTCCATGGTAACGCTGAAGCCAGGGAAGCAGTCTGCTGTTCACTCCACAGCAGGCCAGCCTAATCAGAAGGCAGAGCCAGGGTAGAGTTTGATCCCTGTTCAGGCATATTCACCAGGGCTATACCCTACATCCTTCCATGGCCCTGACGATGAAACTTAAGTGTTTCTGGACACTAGGCCTATGTTTGGTAGTCAGCCAACTTTCCAAGACACTGGTCAAAATTCCCAAACTGCCAACTATCCATGACCCGGGATTTATACGCGAATGTGTCGACAGCCATAATGAAATGCGAGGCAAGGTGAAGCCCTCGGCAGCCAATATGCTTTACCTGGTGAGATGGGGACCGGGGTGCCGTCCAGAAGGATGAGTCTAAGCAGGAGAGGGCTCTTAAATCAACCGTTTGTTCTTTTTTGTCTTTCAACTGCATCTCATATGATCCCCAATTAATTACTTTTTTAAAAAATTATGTCTTTACTAAAGAGCTAAAATTAGCTGAAATTTATTTATTAGATTAGGATAATTTTATTGTAAAGAAATATGTATTAATCAATTTAATCTTTTTCTTTATTTCAGAATTGGGACAAGGAATTAGCACGATTAGCCAAATTATGGACTAGGAAGTGCAAATATTCACATAATCCCTGTATTGCAAAACGATATAGCTGCATGGTGGATTATGACTTTCTTGGAGAAAATCTATATTTAGGGCCAATAAACAGTACACCAAAGGAAATAATTTCTCTTTGGTCTAGTGAACAAAGATATTATAATTTTGAAAATATGACCTGTTCTAAAAGTTGTGACCATTATACACAGGTAGGTACTTAATGGGTTATTAATTAGTTCTTATGTTTATTTTAGTGACAAAAAACAGTTTTTGGTATTTTCTTCTATATTCATAAAAAAACCACTCCATTTTTTGCGTATCCCATTAGCTGAGTGTAGCTTTTCTGATCTTTAAAAAATGCTACTATGCTGCCATTTTCTTTACATTACTTACAGGAAATCTACTGTAACCCTCTTGTTCTGTCCTGTGGCTTTTCACACCTGTGATTGTGCTTACTTCTTTCTAGTCCTGATCAACTTTCCATGAGGTGTCAGGGTCAGCTCCACCTTCCTTGGGCTTTAGAAACTTGAGTTTACCATACTAAGTCTATAGAGTAAAAACACATTTGCAAAATATGAGTTGCTGTTTCTTAAAATAGTTCAGTCTCCCTTCCCTCTGCCTAGTACCAATGTTGGAAGTGTGTTTGAGCCAAGCCAGTTTGATGCCTCTGTTATGTTTATGGACTTTTTCTCTCTGTGATCATTTTGATAATTTTACCCCTGTGCCTTTAACTCACAATCATTTCTTCCATCTACCAATGTCACGCTAATATGATTTAATTTACTTTCTTTTTCTTTTAGACTTCAAAATATGATTATATAATATTCCCCATCCCTTGATTCCCTCAATCACTTCTCCTGTCCCCCGCTTACCATCTCTCAAATTCATGCCCTCCATGTCGCTAACTGCTACTATATATGCATGTGTTTTCCTAAATACATAAATACAACCTGTTCAGTCTGTAAAATGCTACTCACATATATGATATCAAGACTGACCACTTGGTATTGCATAACAAATTTGGGGTTCTTCTCTCGGGAAGGCTATTTCTCCTACTCCTAATGTTCCTCAGCTGTCTGTAGATCTTGGTCTAGAGTTAAAGTCCAGTGAGATTCCTTACTTCATTGTTAGCACATCTATTGGTGTCTCCTTTCTTCAGGGCTGGTTTAAGCATCCGTGTTGATGAAGCTTACTAGGCTTAGCTTACACTCCCTCTCCCACTCTGATGCCTATACCTTGTGGACAGGACCCTTGTGTACAGGTATAGATGTACCAACTGAGGTTGGGCACCGCATGCTCTCCGCATTGTAGTCTCCTGTACCGAGATCTATCTATAGAAGATGTTTCTTGGATAAAGGGTAAGACCTATACTTTTCTGTGGATATTAAGATAATTATGCAGAATGCAGCCAAAAACTATGCTGCTTTAGTAAAGTGGCAGTTGTAGGTTCTCCTCCAAATTTTTGATGTCACTCTCTAGGTAGCTGGCTGTGTTTCCAGTAGCATACGTGAGTTCCTTCTTGTTGATAGCACCTTATGTACGATTAGAGAACTGTTGGTTGCTGCCAAAGTATTTTTGAGATCTCATCTATATAATACCTTGTCACCTGCAATTAGGATACTTTGACATCTTTCCTGTTGCCTTCTCTTTGATTTCCTTTCCTTGCCTTACTGCTCCATTTGTACTTTGAACACATTACAGTTTTATGAAGAAAATTTATAGCTCTATTTGTCCCCATTGAAAAATAAAACAAAAGAAAAATCAAAAGAGAATTGGCCGACATTTCTTGAGTTAGAGTTATCAAGGATATAGGAACAAAAGGTTTGTGGAATCTTCCTTTGTGGTTATGGAAAGTAAACAAGGCCAGGTACCTGGCAGGGGAGGAGTCCCTGCTTAGAGACAAGGAGTGGCTATTGAGTGAAGCTGTGAAGATGAAGTCAAGATTACATTGGAGACCCCATGGTGTTGGAGATGCCAGAGTTATGGTCTAATTTCCATACATGAAGTGGAGCCAACACAAGAGGGAGAAATGTGCTGCAGTCAGCAACAGTGGAAGGGAAGAATCATCTAAGGGCACTGCCAGCAGACACAGAGCTTTAGAATTTAGGCCTCTCTTAAAGGGGCTGCAGCACACTGCAAGCAAAAATGCTGGCTACCAAGAAGCCATACTTAACTCTGTTCTTTTGTGTCTAGAATTCCTTTTTAAGCTCTCTCAGACTTTAAGTGGATTTACTCACCCATGTTAGTGTGCCAATTTGTTGTAAGGAGGCTGCTTGTTCATTTTCTGGCTGTCCAGACTCCCGAAATAACCACACAGAAACCATATTATTTAAATCACTGTTTGGCTCATTAGTTCTAGCTTCTTATTTCCTAACTCTTACATCTTAATTTAACCCTTCTCCATTAATCTGTGCATCACCACGAGGTTGTGGCCTACCAGCAAAGTTTCAGCATGTCCCTCTCCAGCAGCGGCTCCATGACTTCTCCCTGACCCCACCCTCCTTTCTCCCAGGATTCACTTTATTTCTTCTTACCTAGCTCTCTTCTATCCTATCAGGCCAGCCATTTTCTTTATTAACCAATGGTATTCACAGCATTCAGAGGGGAATCCCACATCAGTTGTGACCCTTTAAGAGACAAGCCCTACTTACTCCCTCCCTGCATCCACTGAGGCAAGCAGCTTTTCCTTCTGCTTCCAGCCTGAGTTCCTTCCTTTCCATTTCTCTCTCCTGAAGAGGCAGCTTCTGCTTCACTTCCTTCTCCCCACTTCTCTCCTTCTTCCCCTCTCTCTGTTTCTGTTTCTCTCTCTCTCTCTCTCAGTTTTTTCTCTCTGCTCTTCACCCTTCTCTCCTCCCCTCTTTCCCTTTCCCCTCCATAACCCACTAAATAAATACCCACTTTCTCTGCCAATCTGTGGGGGTGCAGTGATTTACTTATTTATTTATTTTTGTTTGTTTGTTTGTTTATCTGTTGAGACAGCGTTTATCTGTGTAGCAGCCCTGGCTGTCCTGTAGACCAGGCTGGCCTCAAACTCACAAGAGTTCTGCCTCTGCCTCTCGCCTGCCTTTGCGTCCTGAGTGCTGGGATTAAAGGAATGTGCTACCATTGTTCAGACAGATGTTGTTTTTCATTGTGAAGTCTGAACACTTTTCCAGTAGTAATGAAGTTGAAAGTCATATATGAAACAGCCACTCATGTGAATTCTTCTATTTAATAAATATGGGCTTACATACAGAGAGAATTTTAAGAGTCTAAAATGGTCATGGGGAGATGGCTGGCTGACCCTGAGGAAAACAGATGTAGTTAAAGCTCGAGTTCAAGGGCTTCTTGCTGCAGAATTCTTTCTTGTCAGGGAATGGCCAGTTTCATTGTTCTATCCAGTCTTCAGCACTCTCTGTTTCAGATTCTTCAAACAATGTATGCTCATGATCTCATTTACTCTTTATTGTGAGTAAAAGTATAGGGCCCTGAGAGAGGAAGGGACAGAATCCAAGACTGAGACAAACCTAAGACCCAAATCTAGATATTGTAATTATTAGATCTGAAATTCCAGGTTTAATCTACTGAAAGTCAGGATGTTAAGTAGGAGCAGAGCAGCCCACGCCATGTCTCTTAAATGATACTCATAAATGGCATCATGTGAAGTTTTATTCCTACAGAGTACTTGATTGAGTTGTGCAGATCAGCTACATAATTTATGCAGATCAGTACCAGGAGCAGAGTAAACATCATATGTAATGCTTACCTCTGAGTAAATGTTCTTGCTTTATAAGACATCAGTAAATTGACTGTTTGTATTTTGGCACCTACTGTATTTGTTTTTTGTTTTTTTATTTTTATTGATTATAGTAAGGTATACATTTTTCTCTGCTTCCATCTCCTCCTCTCCTCTCCCCTTCTACCCTCTTCCATGGTCCCCATGCTCCCAATTTACTCAGGAGATCTTGTCTTTTTCTACTTATCATGTAGATTAGATCCACGTATGTCTCTCTTAGGGTCCTCATTCTTGTCTAGGTTCTCTGGGATTGTGATTTGTAGGCTGGTTTTCTTTGCTTTATGTTTAAAAGCCACTTACGAGTGAGTATATATGATATTTGCCTTTCTGAGTCTGGGTTACCTCACTCAATATGATGTTTTCTAGATCCATCCATTTGCCTGCAAATTTCAAGATGTCAGCATCTTTTCTGCTATTTAGTACTCCATTGTGTAAATGTATCACATTTTCCTTATCCATTCTTTGGTCAAGGGGCATTTAAGTTGTTTTCAGGTTCTGACTGTGACAAACAATGCTGCTATGAATATAGTTGAACACATGTCTTTGTTGCACGGTTGAGCATCCTTTAGATACATACCCAAAAGTGGTATGACTGGGTCTTGAGGTAGGTTGTTTCCTAATTTTCTGAGACATCTAATATATATGTCAGATATTAGGGAAAATGTAATAAGCGTATATATGTACATATATTTATACGCTAGCATAACGAATTGCTTACATGGATTGTCTTAATACATTACTCTTAATTCCTTTTCTTATAGGTAGTTTGGGCTAATTCAGTTAAAGTTGGATGTGCAGTTTCAAGTTGTCCTCATCTCTTGGGAAAATCAGCAGCACTATTTGTATGTAATTATACACCAGCGTAAGTTGATTTACTAAAAAAATAAAGTTCTACGTTGATAACAAATGTTTACAAAGCTGTGTGTGATAAAGCACCTTTAATTCCAGAGTGCAGGAGACAGAGGCAGTTGGATCTCTGTGAGGTCCAGGCAGTCCTTGTCTATATAATGAGTTCCAGGCCAGCCCATGCTACATAGAGACCTTATCTCAAAACAAAATAACAACAACAAAAGGCACAAATATTTACAAACAGTATCTTACGCTAGACCCTAAAGTATTTTTGATGACATCTCCCCCTGAAAAACTAATTTTAGAAGTGAAAATAGAATGGTAACAAAGTATTGCCTAAATGAAAAACCCTTCCTCTCAGAGAAGTTATTTCTTAAGTCTAAATAGTAGAGGCTGGGACAATGACTCAACTAGTAAGATGTCTGTCTTGAAAGCATTAGGACCTGAGTTTGATCCCTCTGACACCGATGTAAAAGGCCAGCACTGTGGACACACCTAAAACACCAGCACTGCCAGTATGAAATAGGCAGAGTC